CTCTGGGGTGGAGGCAAGGAAGGAGGTTAGATGACCAATTAGAGTTGATACAACTCTAAGACCCAGCCACCTCCCCTACCTGCCCCTGGCATGCTCAACCCCACCCCCAGAGCCAGTTGTGACTTCAGGGGGCACAGCTAATTATTCTTTCCATGCCAGCTGCAAAGGGGTAGATGGTATAAGACTGCAGGATGTTATTGCTGGGACTCTAAAGAATCCTATAGCCTTCCAGACAATGTGAAGAGATCATAGGATAGCACCCTAATGGATTTTTTGTGGTAAGAAAACATGGGAGGATTACAAATGGAAGTTGTCATTCTCTGGACCATGTCTCCATAAAATTTTGTGAATGAGGCAGAGTAATTGCACATTAAATCTTAATTTGGAAGTGCTCAAATACTAACTACTTAATGCTAACACACAAAACCCAGTCCCAAAATTGGAAGGTCTATTCCAAGGATGTTTTTGTTAGAGCTCTGGTGAATTGCTAAGAGAAAGCTGTGAGGAAGTCATTCTGTCAATAGCTCTTAGCTTCATTTGCTTCCTTGGGATGTATGGATGGAATGCTTTAGTGAGCATGCTTGGAAATGGGAAGGTCTGCATGCACATTTTTACAAAACCTTTACTTCCTTAAATGTCAAAATGATAATATCTCTACATCCCTAAATAATATTTTTGGATGATGTTGTCAGTGAATGAAAATAAAAAATTTCACCAGCAGACATTAAAACTTACCAGATTTTCAGATAATCTTATAAGAGACACTTACAAGAGTAGACAGGCCTAGGATTAAATTGTTGCATACCAAAACTGTCTATAAAGTTATGAAATGATTATTCAGCGAATACATAGAAATCTCTATAATGCAAATGAACAAATATATCAAATGAAGAAGAATGGGCTGGTTCTTTCCTATATCCTTCATTCCACTAAGCAGGAATTTCAAAGATGTCAAAGATGTCTTGCTTCCTTCTTGCCAATAGGAAAAGTCTTTACTCCTCCTTTGTTAGCCATACTTATTCAGGAAAACAATACAAATGAACAAACAAACTCTCATGCATGCATGTTCTGGCAAGGAATGCATGAGAAGCTGACCATTTTGGCAAGAATGACAGCTTTGAGTTTGAGGACGATGGAGAGTTGGTTGACCTAAGCAGGGCTGAGAATTAAACTCTGATAATGGAGTTGTTGTGGTAACGGACGGGCCTCTACCTGCAGACCCAGTTTCTTAATACCTGCCTATGCTTGCTCAAGACAAGATTATTTCAAGGACAGCCACAAGGCCCAGTCCACCTGCCTGTGGGAATGGTAAAAAACAACAGCATCCTGAGGGAGGAGATTTGGAAATGGGGAGTCTCATGGATGAAGAACTGCAGCTTCCTGAGAAGATGGACCTAAAGGTCTGCTGTCACAGCCACAGGGTGGCCCAACTGGGGCCTCAAAGCACAGAACACAGGTGCCTCCAATTCCACAGTGCCCCTCCTTCCTGAGACAGGCCCAGAAGGGTTCATAAGCAAAGCTTTGCACCTATTCAATCTTTCCCTCCTTGAGGGATTACCTTTAGCCAGAATACAGATGGACAAAGAGATGGTAAAACTTGGAAGAGTAACAAATGTAAGGAGCTGCTGTCTGGAGTGGTAAAATTTTATGACTGAGTCACAATGATTGCACAATAGGAACCTCATCTGGTAATATGCTTTGTGTAATAGGCACAAATCTCAGAGACCCATCCTTTTGGGTGTGGATGACATCCTCTCAGCTCCAGCAGAGGAGAGCTTCTGCCAGGAAAAATAAGGAGAAGAAAGCAGTGAATGCCTTCCTGAGAGAGGGAGTGGTGGCAGCTACATTAAAAATGGCCATGGTTATACCACTCCTAAAAATGTCTAAAGTGGACCCAGGTGACATGAATAATTATAGAGCAAGGTGATCAAGTGGGTAGAGGCTGGGCAACTCCAGGCACTCTTGGAGGAAATGAATTATCTTGAATTATCTTGATCCATTTCAATCATGTTTCGGGCCTGATGTTGGGACAGAGACTGCCTTGGTCACCCTGTGGGATGTCCTTTGATGAGGGAGAGAGAGGCAAAGTGAGACCCTGTTGGTTCTCCTGGACCTTTCAGTAGCTTTTGATACATTTGACCATGGTATTCTTTTGGAGAGACTCATTGGGTTGGGAATCTGAGAGACCACATTGTGCTGGTTCTGCTCCTAGCAGGTGGACCATTTCCAGGTGGTGGTCCTGAGGGATTATTGTTCTGCATCAGGGCACTGATGCTATGGAGTTCTACAGGGCTTGATTTCACCCATGCTTTTCAACAATTAAATGAAATTGCTGGGTTAAGTCATTGGGAAGTTTGAATTGAAGTGTCACCAATATGCTGATAATATTCAGCTCTATCTCTTGTTTTCATCTGACCCAGGTGTGGTGGCCTCTGCACTTAATTGGTGTCTGGACTTGGTAATAGATTGGATAAGGGCCAATAAACTCAAGCTCAGCCTTGATGAGATGGAAGTACTGTTGTTGAGTCTTGCCATGATTATTCTTGCACTGGTAAGATTGAACTATTGTTGTTAGTCGTGAAGTTGTGTCCGACCCATTGTGACTCCATGGACAACATTCCTCCAGGCCCTCCTGTCCTCCACCATTCCCTGGAGTCCACTCAAGCTCACACCAACTGCTTCAGTGACTCCATCTAGCCACCTCATTCTGTGTCATCCCCTTCTTCTTTTGCCATCTATTGCTCTATATTTGGACTCTTCACATGATGCTGAACAGGGCAGTGCGGTTGTTGATGAGAACTAGTTCTAATGAACATATCACACCTCTCCATCCTTCTGCTCCAGTCCAGACAGAATTAAAGGTCTTGACTATGACATTCAAAGCCCTAAATGGCTTGGAACAACATTATTTTAGGTAGTGTCTTACTCCACATATTCCTGCCCATTGCTTGAGGTCATCAACTGAAGTCCCCTTCTGACTTCTTCCCCTCAAGAAGGTTAAAGGGGTGGCTGCAAGGAGGGTCTTTTCTGTGGTATCCCCCACCCCAACTCTGAAATGCTTTACCTCATGAGATTTGCCAGGCACCTACTTTGCTGAGTTTTAGGCGCCTGGCAAAAACCTTCTTTTTCAGCATGCCTATGGCACTACTTAGATCTTCCTGGCTAATTGCACCGTATTATATTAATTATATTTTAACTTAATTATGTATTTTGCAATTTTATCTTTTTCTATTTCATTATGGTATTTTAAACTGTATTGCTTTTATCTAATGTTATTTTATTGGCATTTATTATTGTAATGGCCACCTGGAAAGCATGACACTAGTGGATGGCTCTCAAATGAATTCAATAAATAAATTGAATAATTAATAAATAAACCTCATCCAATAATACTGCACAGGATGTACAACAAACAGCAAAAAAAACCAAAAAAACAAAAAAAACCCTCATATAAATTATAGGATAAATATTGCTGAGACCTAGTTACAGCCTCATTAAAGGATCTGGGGCTGAAATGTGAATTGGGCTCAGAGGATGAGTACCATGTGGGGCACACTCTTCAAGTCGCTTACTTCCCTTCAACCACCTATATTCCCAAGTTTGGCTCATGTCACCCATCTACGTGTTGCCCCCTGCTAGTCTGGATATTCTCAAGCTCACCGGTACCCTATGGGCAGGCTCATTTGTTCTCGGGAGATGTGGAGGGGGTGTCATTCTGACTGCTGCTAAATTTCCCCATAGTTTAACAGGATCTACTCCCTCCAGGCCCCCTCTCAGGGCTGGGGATGCCAGTTCAAAGTTCTAACATACCAGAATCAGAAGCAGACCTCATGCTGCCATGAGCAGCAGTGCAGTAAGTGGCCTAAGGAAGAAGTGCAGGTAGTCAGAAGCAAGGGGTCTAGAAAAGTGGTACAGAAAACTAGGAAAGGATGAATCAGAGTATTTTGCTGTTTATCACTCTTGAATTTTTTAAACACATGGTTTTTCTATACTAGTTTTTGCATCAATTTGTGAAGTTTTGGTTAAATTGTACACAATTCCTTATGCATTTCTCTCAACTTCTACACTGTTATATGCAACACATGCTTTCTTGCAAGCAATTTCCCTAATATATGCCTTTAAATATGCTTGCTGATGCTTGACAATATACTTCTTTTAATTGGAGGACTGGATCCAAAATATTAGAGAAATTTAAAAATTGAAAAATAACTGCACTCTGGTTTGTATGCTAGTTGGGGAAGAATGAATTATGTTGTTTGGGTTAAAATGTGAAACCAGCACATTTCTCTCCCAGCCCTTGTGAAGCACTGTAGTCCTGTAGTAAGTCCTGTCCTGAACACTGGTGTAACTGTGATGTCAGCTAGGGCAGCCATTGTGAAACACGGATTGGGTGGGGAATGACAAAAAAGTGTACCAGTCCCCAGAAATCCTAGAATTTGCTACATTATGCATACAGATGCACATTTAACAAGAATTATTGCACATTAAATTGAAATGTGCTATATCTTGCCATGGTATACAGAAGACTCAGTCAATTGTCCAGGTGATATGAGTGGTTCAAGGTCTCTGCTACCCTCTTTTTTTCATGGTTCTTTATTTCTGTACCAGGCATGGACTGGATAGCCCTTCAAACTGAGGGCATCTTCAGAATAGAAGGCAGTCCTCTGCCAGCCCATCAAACAAGACACATGGCCACCCTAGCCTATATATCCAGTAAAGTGCATAAAAACAGTACTGCAGAGAGTGGAATTAATAGTTGGAGGAGGTGCCCCACATTAATGATATCTAGTCTGCTGACTTAGAATACCAGTTACTCTAAAGGACTGCTAGTGCTGGAAAAATGTGACTTCTGTCAGTGCCCAAAACTGAATTGCTTGGTTTATTTCGTATAGTCCCTTGGTAGGGTTAAAGTGAACTTCAATTAGATGTATGAACAGATCAGAACTTGGGTCCACATTCCAGCATCTTATTCTGTACATGAAGGCACTCAGTAAAGAAGATTATTTCTTGAGTAGTTTTTTCCGCTCCACTGCCATATTCAGGGTCTGCAGAATCAGTTGCTGGTTATTCAAAATATTATATTCACTCAGTTCCACCAGCCGGTCATACTCTTCCATACTGAATGTCATTGAGTATGTTGAGTAGTCACTGGAGATGTCCACTTCTCCATCTTTCATCTCTGACTCAGAGCGTTTTACACCTAAAAAACAGATAGGGCTGTAAAAATGGCATAGGCCACAATCATGTCTGTGCATGTACACGTGCATCATGGACAGGGACAAGGGCATACCTCTGCCCTGGAATTAGAGTGAAGAGAATAGTTTTCCTCTTGAACTACTGGCACTTTGTGGTCAGTTCCCTCCCTCTGTTTAGCACTGAATCATAGTCACCTTCATGAAGAAGTGTGTATCCAGGTTACAGTCTCATTATTATAGTGCTAGCCTTTGCCTCACATCTTTGATTCAGGCAGGGGGACCCCCTCCCCTGCCACAATACATTAAATAATCTAGAAAAGATCAAGGTTTTGGAAGAGAAATATTAACTGCAGTGACTTCGGGAAGTGAACTTCAAGACCCAATCCCTCTTCCTCCACACGCAGCCACTGCACAGAAAGGAGTGTGACACCACCTCCCAAAGTCATTTTGGTTGACAGTTCTCTTCATCCAAAATGTTCCTTTTCTACTCCAGATGATGTATTTTTGAGGGTTTTTTTCTGACCTGGGGTGACCTGTATTTTTTCCTGTTTGATTCAGATGTCACCAACTGACCTGGGATGACAGGGGGAGGGGAGGGGAGGGGAGGGAAAAAATCCTATGGCATCTTGCCCCTGCCCCTAGCAGCAAGACTTCTTCAAATGGCTCAGAAGCTTGTCTAGAAGAAAAATATTAGAAGAGTATGCCTTAATTGCTCCTTCTGCACTGGTAGCAGAGGAATCTTGGACACCCCCAAGATCAGAGGCTTCCATCTAGTTGGTGGGAACCCAATAGAGTTGCACTGCCAAGGTATTTTTACAGTCCCATTACACCAGAGAGCCAAATCCATGATCATTATAGTGTTAACAACCTACCAGCATATTCTGTCACCTGTTAACCAATTAATTTTCATATGACATCATGAATGCAGAATGATATGAAATGGGCCCTGTGAGATCAGTGTGAGGCTATCAAACTATCCAGGAATGAGAGGATGGACTCTATTTGGCAAGTAGATTGATTTTACTGAGCATAACTAGTATAAATTTGTTTATATTCTAACTCAAGAGTCAACAGCATGGAGCTCTTACATCAAAAGATGTGTACAAGCAAACAGTTTGGACCTCGGGCAAGAAGAATGTGCCCCTTACCTAGGCAGCAAGAGAAGAGAAAGGAGAGGGAGAACAGGAGGATGGAGAGAGAGAAGGGGTTCTCAGAAAAAGAAAATGGGTTGCAGGCAGAGAGAGAAAGAGTGGAAGAAAGATAAACAGGAAGGGCAAAAATAAGGAAAAAGTAGTGTCTCCACACATTTTTGGTTCTGGTTGTGCTCACTACTGGCAGGCAGCCCATGACACGGGGCTGGGGGAGCCCCTTCCCTTGTTCTGAAAGGTATGTGTCACAGAGTGGCACACAGTGATGCAGTGGGTAATTTTACAACCTGGACTGAATGGTCTCAGGGTGGTCGTCTTTAGATGGTCATGAATTGCTTCAGTTTTGAAGCATATAATTAACATTTCTCCCCCACACCACAATTGTCATTTCATACTTTACAGCTCCTTTTGCATTCTCAGTAAGTTAAATGGAAGACAACAACAATTTGTTTGCGAACTTTGACATAAAGTAATATTGTGAGCATGTGCAGTGCTGTACTGTAACCTCACTTAGATCATTACACCATAATGACTACAAGTATAAAATGGAATCTCGTTCTGTTTGTCTGATGACCTCATCCTTTGCTATTCTGCATGGTTATTTATTCCCATCCCCTTATATTCTAGAAAATGGTGGATGGTGCCCACCAGATGCTGGTAGGCTACATCTGTTACCATCCATCACCACTGGCTAGGCTAGATGGAAGTTGTAAGCTACCAACATCTGGAGGAGCACATGTTCCTCATTTCTGGCTCAGCTTACAGGAGGTTGTTCCTGTTGATACCTTGCCAATTTAGGTTCAGACAATGTTAGCAAGACTTCCTTTTTTAAAAATAAGTTTTATTATTATTTTCTACTAACTAACAAACCTAACAAAAAGAAACTAAAAAACTTCAGGCCTACTGGGTCAGCCCCCCATACTTTTTCTTTTTATGGCAATCCGTAAACATATTTAAGTCTATGCATAGTCCTGTTTCTCTAGCCAATAATAAAAGGAATTCCAAGTTTGATAGAAGTCTGTATCTTCTTTCTCCTTCAGAGACAGAGTCAATCTGTCCATTTTGGCATAGTCCAAGATCTTTTTTATAATCAGTTCGTCGGTAAATGTTAGCAAGATTTCCATGCTCAGGCAGGTATTGGTGGTATTTTCTTTGAAGCTAGGCTTATTAATGCCAACAAAATTGTATAACTGCACTTCTGGATAAGATACTCCAGGCTCGTAGTATTTTTATTTTAAAACTATTGGTTGGCCATTAACCACAAACTGGTAGGTTAGGCTGAGAGCCAGTGTGTATAGTGGTCGAAGTGCTGGAGATCTGGGTTCTAGTCCCCACTCAGCTCTGAAGCTCACTGGGTAACTCTGAGCCTAACCTACCTCAAGGGTCACTGTGAAGATAAAATGTAGATAATGAGGAGGAAGTTTGTATTGGGTTCCTTGCAGGAAAAAAGTGGAATAACTATAATAAACAAACACTCAAAGAAACATCAACTGCCTTCCAGCACTTAGTAAAAACTGGGTAGTTTTAGAAGTGGAAAAAAGTAATTGTTCAGAGCTGCTGCTGAATATTGATTATTTAGCAGCTTATTGTACTTAGTTGTTACTACGGTCTTTCTGTTACTTTTTTGTGTGAAATGTTTTATCTGAGTTTAATGTATTGTTAGCTTCATTGGGAGGGTTAAAAAAAACAAAATGAAATAAAAATGGCACCATTAGGAAGGATGGCCATTTACACTTAAAAGTAGTAGTGGTATTTCTCCCTCTAACAACATTTAGGTCATGTGGTCCTCAAACAGGTACCTGCCTTTCTTATGTCACTCTAGAAATCATCACGTACAGAGATGATGCTCATAAAGATAAATAAGGATGATATTGACAGCCTACCAGGTGCTTTGTAATAGCGAAAGGTATCATTCACTTGTGGAAAGAATAGCAACAACGGTGCTTCCAAGTTATCTTTATCTTCAAATAAATAGCATTCCTTTAAATGTTTGTCATCTTCATTCACCACAGCTTTGGGGAATGAGATCCCTTGTTCTGCATAGTACTTGCATGATTGTTCCAGGGGCTAGATTAAGGAAAACAGATTGGTAAATATGGGGATGAGGTACAACATGATGTGTAATGGAGGAGGCAGTGACTCCATGTAAAGTTAAACATGTCAGTGGAAAATCCATGGATCTCACCATTGTTTGTGATCCTGAACTATAATTCAAATGCAGGATAACATCGACCTTCCTCTCTTGTCTCAGCAAAGGTGCAGAACTAGTATTGATGAAGAATCCAGTATCTACTAAAGATAAATAGTCTTCACTTGGGGTCAGCTGATTGGGTGAAGAAGAGTCTAATACAGTATCTAAAAGACAGAACAATTGTGGTAAGAGGAACTGAAGCTTGAAACAGTTCTGCACTTGTCCAGGTGCAGCTGATCTTACTTATGGGTACAGCTGTAGGTGTGTCACCTAATGTAATCTCCAGAGTTAGTCTGTAGTGGTATGCCATAAATCCATTGCATCCTATTTTCTCAGTAACCTCTGAATTTGTTTCACACATACAAACTTAAACATTTATTTGTTTTTCTAATGACATAATAATATTATATAATTACATAATCTAAAATGTACAATAAATATACTGCATACTATGTATATTATACTTTTTTCTCAAAACGCACATTTCTAATGCTTCAATCCTATGAACCCTGGTAGTGCATCCTAGAGGTCCACAGGAAATACTGGATCTACCCCTTCAAGGGTAGAAAGAGGAGGCTGCCCTCAGCAGGGGTGATCCAGCCTTGAACTCCACCACTGCCCTGCTACCTGGGAAACCTCTGAGACACATTCTTGTCTCACATCAGAGTTTGGATGCTAGAAAGCAGAAAAGGAAATGCACTGCGATGGGCCCATGGACAAGCCCAGGGACACTGTGAATCTGCAGGTATGGCTTCATGTTGGGTGTGGAGAGCTCTGTTGCTGGAGCGTCTGAAGAATCCAAACCACTTCAGGGATTAAGCTGCAGGGTCAAAGTGAAGGAGGATAAACATCTTGGTTTCTGTCTTTTCTCCTGACAGCTTTTACCATAAATTCCCTTCCACAAAACCAGCTGGAGGGAATTAATTAGTAGCAACTGGGCTGATGTAGATCTGCAGTTTGGGGATATGTCTGGGGCCTGGATGAGCTTACTGGTCTGGTGGCTTTACAGCCACTTCTGGTATAACACTGAGCACACCTCACTTTTTGCTGTGAAAGAAGAAGCTGACTTGAAGGGATTTTCCCATTTGAAGGGAGATCTCTTTCCCTGCTCCAGAGGGGAGAGCAACATTTCCTATGAACTACGAACTTTGGGTTGCCCTTTCAGGGAATATACTTTTGCAATGTTAATCCATTTTCTTTCCAGACTTTTTTCAATGACAGCCTACAATGACCCTACATACAACACATAGCAATTATGCAAACAGAAGGCTGTAGTAGTGTGAATAACCATTGCAAGATTGCATGAAAATACCTTTCCATTTACAGAACTTGTCATTCTCCAGGTAGTTATTGTCCATCTGGAGACCTTTCATGTAGTTGTGGTACTGAGCAACTGACAGGCGATCAGTAAGTACATCTCGAAAAGCACTGGACAGAGGCCCAGCAGGTGTGTACAGATAAGTCTTTTGCTCATGTGGTCTAGTAGGCAGATGTGGCTCTTCATCTAGAAAGGAATAGTAGCAATGAGTTGTAGTTCAACACATCTGGAGAGAACTAGGTTGGGGGGAAGTGGTATAGAGGTTATTTATGTTTGGTATAACATTCCTAAGCTGCAATGCTATGCAAACACAAAGTATTTTATCAAAATGATTGCTAAATCAACAAAAGCAGAAAACAACCCCCTTTCAAAGTTATGGTTTGATAATATGTTATTTTATGATTAGATGCTCTGCTATTCATAATTTCAGTAGCATAATACAAGATGGGACAGATTTCAGGCTTTCAGAGTCTGCTTTGGATTTTTTTTACTAGAGTGCTGAGGTCCACTAGAACCAATAGCAGAACCTGGCACAGAATAGTAGCTTAGGGGGCCAAGCTGATAATCTACTGCACCCCACAAGCCCTATATGGATTATATACACCTGTACATCTGAATTACCTACTGCAAAAGATAGCTGAACAAAGACTTGGTCAAAATTCATTTACTGAGTACAAATAAGGCTGAAGGAAAAAAATTAGCACAAGGGCAAGAATGGTAGAGGTGGCTTAGCATGTTTTAATCTCCTTGGTATTATTAAAGCTAGAAAATCCCTGTATATCAACCCTAAACAACCCACTAATCTACCCGTGGATCCCAAGCTGCATACTGCCCACACCCTGTCAAGTAAATGGATATACAAATAGATATATAAAATTGGAGAAGAATTTTTCCAGAAGCCAAATTTCTTTGCAGGTGAAAAAGTCCAAAATATTTAAAAAAATATCCACAGATATATTCAGAACATGAACAAGAAGGCAACAGCCTCATAGGAGTCACCAACCAATATCAGCTATTTGATCTTGTGTCCATTTGTGCCAGAATTCCTCCGAACTGTGTGATGTATTCCAGAAATACAGCAAATTCAGGGAAAATATACTACTCCACATGCCTATAAAGGGAGAGAGAATGTGTAAACATTAACTATGCAGACAAAGCTTAGTGCTAAAACATTTTATATGTCTATTGAAAAGTTGTTCATGTCACTGTTTGTTTTTGCAAAATTGCAAAATATTGTAAACATATGCTCTGTTTTACCAAATGTATTTTGTAAATAGATCCATATGCAAGAAACTTGCATAGATCCATATGTGCACCAAGACCATCCCAGTTTATAGCTCCTCCAGTTGTGCCACTGTGGCTCAAACCCTAGTCTGCTGGGTGCAAAGCGGTGATACACAGTGTTTCTGCACAATTGTTGCTTGTTTTTTCTATTAAAGAGACAACAATTATTATTACTACCTTGCATGTAACAGATTCTAGTCTCTGGAAGCCTTTTCATCAGTCGGCCCATGAAGAATTCACTTCCAAAATCTTCCGTGCGAACAAAAGCTCCATATTTTAATATCCCCACTTCATAGGGTGTGAACTCCACCCATTCTGCAGAAAGAATCGCATACCCAGAAATGAAAGAAATTTCTATCAATCGGCTATATGCAGCTATGTCAAATGAGTCATCATCTGCTTATGCAAATCCCCCTGTTGTGCTATACCCCCTATTCTGTGAGTGGACCAAAAAACAGGCAAAGTAGTGCCCCAATCTATTTTGCTCCTTTCCTTTTGCCTTTTCCCAACATCATGTGTAAACACCCCTCCCATTCTGGCTGCCACCACCAAACCAGTCTTAACATTCTCTATCAGGTATCTACTTATGTAGTGTAGTAGTTGGCTTTTAGATGTGGGTGGATAACCCAGATAGAAGAGACTGAAATTTGCTCCAGAGAGACCCAGATCCTCCAGAACAGACTTGGGAGACATGGGACAGATATTGGACAGAATCTGTTCTGCCAGCAGTTTCTGCTCCACTGGCAGCTGCCATCATTACACGCACCTCACTGTGATTCCTTGTATTAAAACCTACACATTTGCTTTTTTAGAATTTTTACTAATCTTTTACATGTTCAAAGGATTATAGGAAAATCTATGTCAGGATTGCTTATCACAATTTTAAATTAGCAGGTGGGACTTTGGCATCTTGTGTATACCAGTAAGTAAAGACATTTTTGTTATTCAGAAATGGGGTTCTCAAAGAAAGATTTCCTCTACATTTCAGTGTTTGGCTATTTTAAAACCTTATACATGCAACTAGCATGGGTTAGAGGTGAGAGCAATGGGCGTGTAACTAATCATATGCAGGCTAACTCAAAAAATAATCCTACTGTTTTCAGTGTGCTTGGGACTTAGCACCGAACTAGAAGGAAGATCACTCAAGTTGTTAGTCTTTGCATAATTTTTTATATAGAAATAGTGTGCTGGGGGTGGAAACTTCCATGCGCACCATGGTCCTGGTCCAATTTGCTTCTTTCTACACATGTTATCTATCACAAAACGACATGTGTGTGCACTCTGGTGAGATTCCCACACACACACACAAGAAGCTGACTGTTTTGGTGAGACTGATACTCAGAGTCTGAGGATGATGGGGAGTTGGCTGACTTGAACTCTGATAATGGAATTGTTGTTCTAATGGACAGGCCTGCACCTGCCACCCCAGTTTCTCAGTACCAGCCTGAGCCTGCTCTGGATGTAAGTAGTTTGAGGACAGCCATGGGGCCCAGTTCCCCCTTGGTGGAAATGAAGGAGAAGAAGGGCAAAAGCATTCTGAGGGAGGGGATTTGGAAACGGGTAGTCTCTTAGATGCAGAACGCAACCTTCTGAGGAGGTGGACCCAAGGCTGGCCCACTTAGGGGCTCAGAATGTGAAACCCAGGCACGCCCGGTTCCACAGAACCCCTTCTTCCCAAGAAAGGCCCAGAAGGGTTCATAAGCAAAGCTTTGGGTAAAGGGAGACAGAGGTGGTTTAGCATCTCACTTTGTGTATGCTCAGAGTCTCGTGTACACTTAGAGAGTTCTATGTAGAATAAAGACACTTAGAAGAAGTGCTGGAAAGTCTGTCTTGCTGGTGAGGGAACATCTAACTCACAACACAAAGGGCTAAAATATGAATAATGCCATATCTAGTTTTGCCACTATCATCATCATCATCATCATCATCATCATCATCACCTATTCCCAGAGACTGGGTCTCTAGGCAACCCCTTAGGCTGAGGAACCCCACATTCAAACTCCCTTCCATTCTATGATGAAGTTTGATGAATGACCTTGACGAGTCACTTCCCCTCATCTTAAAGTGCTTCATAAAGATAAAACTTGGGGCAACACATGCTGTTCCAAGTTTCTTGGGCATAGGACAACATAAAACTAAATCCATACATTTATGGAAATCATTACACAAATCTGAAGGATCCAAAAGTAAACTAGTTTGATCTCTTGCATGATTACAATGCCCAGGTTCTGCATCTGCAGGGCCTTCACGAGCTATCATCTCCATACTGCTTTTGGATTATGTGCACGTATGAAATGGGTGTCCCACCAAGGTGTTCAAGATGGCTTTCAAAATATGAGTCATTAGCAGGCTATGGCCCATCCCCTTGACTTGTTGCACAAAAGCATTAGGACATGAGGGCCCAGTCCCAATACCAAGCCCAGAGATGCCCAGACATTGCTACTACCTTTGAAATCCATAGTGCTGTATTTCTTTTTTACATTGATTGCAGTGTAGATTGGCAAAGGATTCTGGGCCTCATTCACTGCTTCTTGTTGATCAGAGAGTTTATGGTTGTCTTTCTGTGATATTTGAAAGAAACAGAAGATTGACTAAGAATGGATTAAAATGCTAGAGAACAATATTCAATATATCATATTGTGGGATATTATACAGGAGTGTATGTATATTCCATTCTTGTTGTTGTTAGTTGCAAAGTCACGTCTGACCCATTGTGACCCCATGGACAACATTCCTCCAGGCCTTCCTGTCTTCCACCATCTCCTGGAGTCCACTTAAGCTCAAATATTCCTTTCTAGAATGATGATTTAGCAAATGCTGGAATCCACACATACTCAAGGTTTTTATTACTACAGCTAATGCACTACAAGGTATCCTACTGAAATTTTCTCATGTGCCCATCAACAAATTAGACTGGATCTGAAACACTTAATGTGAAGGAGGCCCAAGAAAGTTAGTATTTTTAGCAATATCATTCCAAGGATTCATAGAAAATACTAGGGTTCAAGCACTAATGCCTAAAGATTAGTGTATACTCTAATTGCCACTAGCCTTAAACAAGCATGCATTTAGCCTGAATCAGCTTCATGGGCAATTTTGATTTCTGTCAGTTCCATGTTTTTTCCATTCTTTAAGTTCAGTTTGTCCCAAACTCATTTTCTAATTTTAAATTTGGTTCCTTTTGAGCTTTGAGATTTTAAAAAATTCATGTGGAAGTTCATATACATTTTTGTCTGTAGCCATATGAATGCATGCAAAGTTTTTATATGCAATTTGTAATTTTGCAAGCAATTTTCCTAATATTTTAACATTAAATTTTTCAACATGGTCACTCCCTTTTTGACTGGAGAACTCCACTGCAAAATTAGGAAAAGTGCAAATTTAGAATAGTTGAGTTTTGGTTCACACATTGATTCAGAACTACAAAGGTGCAGGTTTAGCAGGGGTCTGTATTATTTTGGATACCTGAAAAAGCTGTTTGATCAGAAATGACCATTTGGCCAAAAAAAAAAAGTGTCTATACAGTTATGCAAAATGTTTCTTCTGTCTCAAACCACTTTCAGTCCAAGTGTAGTTTATACACATTAAACTTCCCAGATTGCAAAAAGCAAGAATTTTAAAATGTCTAACTTACATTATGCAAGGATCATCAGCTGTATGTGTAATAGAAAGTACATGAGTGCTGTTTAATACGAGAAATAACAACCATGGCATACCCCATCATTCAATAAATATTCAATAAGAAGTCCCCACAGATCTATACTGGATGTCTTTTGTCCCTCTTGTTTCCGCTGGTTCAGCTGCCTGTTGTAGTATTTCAAACGCTCCATTGAAAAGCAATCCAGCTTGCTTTTGGTCACATGTCTTTTGACCTCATTGATTTGTTCATTCAGGTCCTTTTTTGACCAATAAGCATCTTTGTACAAATTTGCCATGGTCCTGGGGAAAGAAATGTGTGGAAGGACAACATAAGAATTTAACTAGCACCCTGCTGGGTTAGACCAAAAGTCCATCTAGTCTGAGATCTCTTTTCCAGATGGGTGCCTTCAAGTGGTCCATAAGCAGCTTTCTTAACTGTATTCCTTTCTTAACTGTATTCAAAGGATATAAACAGTTCTAAGAAATCCTCCCTGATACTCCATGGTTTATGCCATTGATCAGGCCTCCTGATCGCTCCCTGTAACATTTTCAGGGAGTTAGAAGGGCTGCAGGGGGAAGAAGGTAGTGCAATTGAGAGACCAAACAAAGAAATGCATTCAACAGCTCATGCTACCTCATTTGTGTTTCAGGAATGTCTTTTTTCCTGATTGGAAAAATTGTATTTTCCAACATTGATTAAAATGAGAAAATGCAAATTCTGGGGTGGGGGACTGATGCAAATACACATTTGTGCAAGTACACACTTGTGAATGTAACCATAAGTTTGGGAAATTGTGAGAAATGACCTGAAAATTGTGTCCCTGCTCAGATTTGGGATTGCAAACTGGAATGAAATTCTTGTACATCTCCTTCATATATACAGGGCTAAAATCTGCTCATGCTTCTTAACTCAAATGAAGTTAAAAAGGCACTGAGAGAGGCCACAGCCTTTGGTTCTGAAGAAGGTCAGTGGTTCCTGTTTATATTCAGTCAAGCAAGATGTAGATTGAACAAAATGAACTCTCACAATTCTAGATATGTTCATGTCCTTACCATGTTGTGCCAGACAAACCAGTTATGTATGTAGCGCAGTCTAAGAGATTTAACTTCTGAAGACCTCGTAGGCTTCCATAGAGAGCTGTCAGTGATCTTGTACTGCCCCCTGTTGTCATGATTGCCAGTACTGGAACCTGAAATACATAAAGAAGCAGGCTAAGGCACAGAGGAATCATGCGTGACTACACAACTTGGGGCCACAACACCTACTGGAATGCCTCTCCCAGGTGTAATTTACCCAGACACCGCAAATCAAGCCTCTGATTGCCACCTCTGAGGGAGGCTTGGTTTGTGAGAACAAGGAAGAGGCCTTCTCAGAGTCTCCCCACACCAGTTTTGCCACTGTGGTCCACCTAGCATCCACTCTACCATCTTTTCAGTGTCAGCCTACAACAAGGAATTTAATCAGCACTAAATAGAATATAGGGATGTTATGTCACCTGTCAAACAGGTGACTATCTTAATCTGTATTAGTTACTATAGTTAACTTCAGTTTTAAATCTGCTTTTTAATTCTGTAGTATAAGACATACTGTTATCTGTGTTTTATATTGTTTTCTTATTGTATTTTATGGTACTGTTGCAAACCATTCAGAGAGCTTTGGCTATTGGGCAGCATAGACATAAAACAAACAAACAAAGGAACATGGGATTGGGAAAAAAGAAATTATGAAAAAGAAATTGTGGTAGGATTCAACAAAAAGTAGTTGAAATGACAACATAGTGGAGCATTAGGGTGATCTGCTTCCAAGAGGGGATCAGAGCCAAGATGTAGAGAGGACAACTATCTAAAGGAGGAACTGGATATAATATCTCTGTTAGCATTATATTTAAAGCTCTATAGCACCTTGTTTGTGGTACTTAAGTAACCATCAGTTACACTAATCATCATTTGGGCCACTGTGCTTATGCAAGTGCTCTGTCAACTGGGTAGGCATAGTGCTCAGCTGGATACTGCACAAAATACCCAACATCTTTTGTTGTATTGCCTTCCTTGGAAAAAAGAGATTTTTTATTCCACTTAATAGACCAGAAAGGACATTGCTCTTAACTATCGTTTATTATGATGAGAATGACCCAAGACTATGCCTTTTCTCAAGCAGTCCCTTTTCTCTGTCTGTTCCCAGCACAATTTTGTTAGGCCACAAATCCTATATCCTAATCAAAGGTTAATAAAATGTAATGAATAATGTAACATAAAATATGGAAACAAAAACTTCCAAGTTCCTAGGAAGAGGTGAGCTTCACTCACATTGAAATAAACAATGGTTTATCATGACATACAATGCAACTAATTGAGCCAATTCATATAGTAGGAATAGTCATAATTTTATCACACACCTCATGGTCCTGCAGGTCCTTTTCTAGACCAAGAACCTTTTTCAAAGCACCAGCCACAATGTTCTTCCTTTTGCATAGGAAATCTTGCTCCTGTCGACAAAGGTCATATCCCAAGCGCACATCTAGGCCAGTCTGACTGGAATATCCACACAGAGGAAGAAACATTGGCACATCTATAGCATCCTGCTATATATTTATTTCTAAAAATACAGTGAATCAAGGTCTTCCTCAGAACCTGAAGTGCAAAGGATCAAGCAAGTCTTGAATTAAGTTTAGAGATGCCTTTTCAACAGTTATGCATTGACTCAATACAACATGGGGCCAGAGAGGAATCACAGGTTATGTCATTTGTTTTTACAAGGCAGCCAACAAAATTAATGCAATGTTAATACACAGATTTTCTTCTTTAGTCAGAACTAAGCAGAATAATAGTAAAGGAGAGTGAATGGCTACAGCCCTGAAGATGTTAGGTGCATTATCTTTCACACCAAAATGCAGCTGTTATTAAACTAGTGTGCACGTAATGTACCAAGTGTACACTAATGGTTGGCACAACACCACAGAACATACATACTATTCATTTCCATTTTCATTAAAAGCTACTCATACCCCTTTTTTAATGGATACACACACATCTAACATCTCTTAGGAATGTATTTCTGATGGGTAAAAAGGGAAATAGTTCAAATTATAACCATTACTATCCCAGAGAGGATCGATCTCTTACCAGTCTTCTGCCTTCACATGCAGGGCAAAACTATTATTCTGAAAATCCAGAATACAATCATAAATTTCATTGAGTTATAGATACTTTTCATTCCTAGAACTCCACTGTAATTCCTCTCTTTTAAAATGGTATACATAGACGCTCTAACAACTTAGGAGCTGCATACACACAAAAAAGTTTATATATGTATATTGTTGTTATTATATTTTATTTATAACCCATCTTTATCCCTCTTGTGAGGAAATGAAGGCAGCTTACACAGCTCCATTTAGTCCCTACAACAACTCTGTAAGGTAGCAAGGCTGGGCATCCATGACTGGCGCAAAGTCTCCAAAGAGCTTCTCCCTGCTCTCCAGTCCAACATGCTTAACCACCATGGCACCCTGGTGCTCATATCACTTGCTGGACTGGGAACGGCAGGCACAAATTCATCACAGGTTTAGATAAATATCTAACTGAGGATACAGTCCCTGTTCTTGCCAAGTTTTTAAAAAGTTTGATCCATTCCTTACAGTAAGTAATCTCTGTTTATTATTTTATCTGATCCATTATTTCAGCTATGTGGTGACTTTCCTAGGTTTATGAATGTCATTGTTGATTTCTGACATGCTTTCAGTTGCCTGGATCCCAAGACCCTGCTGTGTGAGGCAGAGGCACTGCTGTTCATGCACAGAGGAGTTGCTGCATCCCTCTGCCCGTCCTCTGCAAAGCCTTTTTCTGGGCGCTAAGACTTATTAACACTTAATGTGATGCGGGGGGGGGGGGGAGGAGCAGGGGGGAAGCACACCGGCATTCCCCTCCTCTCATGCAAATAGATGTATGTTCTGTTCATGCAGTACACGGTTAGAATGTTGGTCTGGGACTTGGGATGTAGTTCCCACTAGACCATGAATCTCACAGGGTGACTTTTGTTAGGTGCAGGTTACATTGCTTGCATTAATGCTGCATGGTTCTGTCCGCTAACCAGAGTGGGAGGGAAGGCATTAATGCCATCGACAGAAGACTCTGATCTCTCTGCTTGAATTGTGTCCCCTTCACTCCTTCTGCCTCACTTGGAAAGACAAAAGGTCACCCTTTCTCTCTCTCCTCTCACCATGCCCAAACAAGCATGTGTTTTTCACTTTCCTCCTCTTTAAGCTAAGCAGCTAACAATGACAGAAAATATTCTGTATGAAAATATTAATTTCTGTCCTTCATGCAATTCACATATAATTTGCTTTTAAGTAAACAAACGTACCTTTTTACCTTCTATTAAAAAGAAGTACCCCCTCCAAGTAGATTCTAACAGATTCAAGTTCAAGCAATAATCTCTCAAACTCCACTGTTTAATGCTTACCTCTGCTGAAATTGCATGTAACCAAATATATAAGAGGTTCCCAACAATTTTGGACCTAATCACTGACTCACAGCTTCAGCTACCACACAGGCTTGTTGAAAAGATAAAATGGGGAGGAGCAGGAGGAGAACTGTGACTGCCTTGGTTCAAGAGGAAAAAAACAGGAAAGAAATATGATTCATCATCTTCACCATCATCTTTGATGCTAAAGCTATTATTCTATTATCTGTTTCATCTGTACATGATTTTCAGTGCAGCATTTTGTTAGAAGAGTAAATTACATGCATGATGGTGGGGGTTTTTTTGTTTGTTTTGTTTTTGCACAGATGCATTTATCCCTCAAAAACAGGCAATACTGACCAATAATTGATCCAGACTGTAGACCCTGGTTTACCTGGGGAATATTTGAAATCTTTTAGAGACAGAGTACAGATAGTCATGTCCACACTTAAAGACAACAATTGCCCTATGTTTTGCTCATTTTATAACATTTAGGAAAACGCAATCTGCCACTTTGCTTCCAAATGAAGCAGTTCAATGCAATATGCAATATTCTTACCTCTGCTAGTACTATTTTCTTGTTTCTAGGAATGGAACTGATATCTACTTTAAGAGATCCTTCTTTTCTATTATAGAAGCAATGTCCCTGGAAAAATAAATATGTTTTGCTGTTGGAAGGACTGAAAAGTTGTATGCCATGTTATCCATTTTATTTAGTTAGAGCACAATCCTATGGAGATGAGCATAAGCTATCAAGGTTGAGCAGGAGGAGCAGAGGAGCCAGTCTTTGCTTACCTGTTCCTTCCACTCTGTATTTTGCCTGACAGCCATTTTTGCTGCCTAGCGACAGAGTGTCAGAGGTGAAGGGAAGGAAGATGGAGATGCCATAGGAAAACCTGCTTCTTGGCCTCCCCATCTCCTCCCTTCCTTGCCCCCCAAGATGTCCCCTTCTACCCCTCTCCAAGGTTGTTTTCCTGACCTTGGGGAGCAGCCAGTTTGGTTCTTTCCACACCAATGGACAGTGGAAGGGGGTTCGAGTGCTGGTCCCTGGTTCAAAGTCAGAGTGCCATTTCTGACCTTGGATTTGGGAATCCAGAAAATCCTATGGTCCCTCAGGCAAGTTCTAGAAACCACAGGATTATTCCATTAGTTAATTTTAAAATGTGTATGTCAGTCTTCAGCATAATCTCAGTGCAGATTACACAATCAAAATAGCCATGAATATAACATCTATGAGATAAAGAACCACATAAATCTTTTTACTGCCATTGTTATGCCAACTTACAAAGGCATAATATAAATCCTCCTTTGGTAGTTTAACATCTAGTGTTGGATGTTTATATTTGGCAAAGTGGAATGTGGACTGGCGTGTGGGTTTCGCAACAAAACTAGAGGCAAAATTAAACTCCTGTTGCCCTTCATGGGATCCTTTCACCATAAGGGCTAGTCCTAAAAGAGAAAAGGAAAAAAAAGGTTCACAAAAGACATACAGCACATAGCAATTTTTTGTGCTAAGCTGCAAGAAGGTGTATAAAACCCACCCATCTTCAATGTATTATGAACTACAGTAATTCTCTCAGGAGTTACCAGTCTATGGGTCAGTACATGGAGAAATGTCTGATGTGGCTACAGAATCGGAACTCTAATATGGGCTGAAATACATAGCATTTGTAGAAAGAAATAAGACTTTGTACACAGTATATTTGAAGTCTTTGGAATAATTATTTGTTTAGTGAGTAGAAAACAATAAAACTTTGGAAAAAAAAAAGAGAGCAATGTCTGACTTAAAGGAGGCAGATTCCACATAGATTTACATATATGTTTGTCCTAGCAATTAATTTTGCCTCATACTCTGAATTTGTGTTAAATGTTTTTCACAAGGATTATTGGTGGTTTAAACCTTTGATAACTTTGACACCCTTATTGTCATGATTATCTTACTTGATTTTTGTGTCTTTTTCTTCTCCACCTCAACTTCCGTACAACAAACTTGCCGAGACTGTAGGAACACAAGGAACCAGACCAAAAAAATATTTAAAGCTAAGAGTCTAACTGATATTCTATTTCTGAATGGTGGGCCATGAAAGACAGAATTGTGTAAGAACCAGAATCCCTTCACCAGTGCTGGACATTCCCAATAAGTGGCTGCATGAAATGGCCTCTTTGCCTAATCAGAATATTTAATAGTAATGCTGCATGGATTTCATGATTTTTGAGTGTGCATTTAGGTTTGCCACCTGATAGAGTTGCATTGGTTGATTATATTTTCAGAAGGTCAATCCATAAATAGTAGAAAAAAGATGGCATTTAAAAAGAATCATGACATAGGTTGCATTCTAGGATCCCTAGAAGGGCAGCCCAGGGTAGATGTAGACAAAAATCTCTGTCGTGGAAGAAGGGGCTTCCTAAGCCTTCTCTGTGAGGTTGTTCAGAACCCTGCAGCCAGTGTTCTTCCAGTATTAGAGGAGGCAAAGAGAGGCCTTCCAGGGGTTTCCCAGTAAAGGCTATGGATCCAGAGCTCTCCTGTTCCCCTAACACACCACATGCATTGTGGGAAGGGCAAACTGCATTAGGCTGTTTGAATCAGCAGGAAGGAAATGTTTTTTTGCCAAAGCTCCTCAAAAAGCAATGTCCTGCTACTCTACTCTGCTGGCATGAACCCAGCAGAGGAAATGGATGCTCCCCTGCCTCAGATACTCCCTCTCTTACCCAAGGAGATCTCACTACTCATTCTCAAAAGCAGAAAAACCCAATGGAAAGCAATCAATTCCCCAGCAATGGCAAACCACAGACAGCATATAACCCTCTTTTGACATTATTATGTTATCTGCCAGAATACTGCAACCTTAGTGACCTGTCTTTCAGCTTTATATGAAAAGTTTAAAACAATGTATCTAAACAATAGTATGTTGCTGTGGCTGTAATATGCCTCTTGATCCCGGGCATCTTTGCCATGGGACTTACTCCCACTGTAATGATTGTTCTTACTCATTTTGTCTTCCGGACTAGTCTCATCAAATTGATATTGTGCAGGGGCAACACTGAGGGATTAAAATGTACCAAACTCAACACCCTGCTACATCATATTTCTTGTGCAAGTGAAATGGATTATCTATGGTTGCATCTATGTAGGAGTAAACAGGAAACTGAGAAATAAGATAATGAGTTGGTGAATTTGATCTAATTGGTAATCTCTTTATATTACCTGCATTGAATATCTAAAGTGGAAGAAAATAGAAAGGAAAATAAACATTACCAGAAGAACACCATTCGTAATTATGATTTCAGGAGCACTGGAACTGAAAAACATGGAATATCCTGATTTTAAGGTACATTAATATACTATAGCAAAATATTATTTTCAGTTCTTATGTTTCCTATGAACACAGTTTTAGAGTCACTCCTGGAAATGTCGAGAAAGACAACACAGAACAGAGCAACTGGAAATCTAAAATATATGGAGCACTGTGAATGTCCAGACCAGGCCTGGAGTGTTACTAGTAGTTCAGTTCTATGCAATTATGTGGTCATACTTCTTAGCCAGTGATTTTAGGGCAACAGAATGTTTATTTTGTTCTCACTGAGAGAAACTACGATGTCTCCCTAGATCTAGTAATTCCATCTAGTTCATAGATTTGCATTCTGGATGTGTAAGATGGAGGGATTAGGGATTCCTTAGTAACTGACTTTACTTACCTATTCTGTAATTCGAACTCCAGCTCCAGCTCCTCATTATTCTGTGATAAAAGTAAGTGAATTAAACCAAAGGCTTCAGAAATTGTTCCTGCATTGCACACACATTCTGCAATCTTGAATAGCCAGTGTGGCGTAGTGATTAAGAGCATGGGACCGGGACTCAGACAATCTGGCTTCTAGTCCCTGTTCAGCCATGGAGCCAACTGAGTGACTTTGGGCTAGTCACAGACTCTCAGCCCAATCTACCTCACAGGATTGTTATGAGGATAAGATTGCGAGCAACAGGAGGAGAATGATGTAAGGCACTTTTTCATTGAAAAAAAGCAGGATACAGATCTAATAAATTAATAAATAAAATTCATGAAAACAATGGGTAGTCAGACTAGGACAATATGAAATCACATGGGATGGGTATTAAATGCAATGATGTTTTTGCTAATTCAGTGTTGCATTTTTCTGCAAAACGAAAGCCTGTCCCTGTTTCCTTTCTCACTTATTTACTGGAGAAGTGCAACCCAGTTTCATCAGAGTAAATGACAGATTTGCCACAGATTTCACTGAAACATGTTTTTTAGCCTGAACTACCCTGATCCAATGGCATTTGTGTGGAGGCTGCTAAGGTTGGGGATGCAGCCCTTATATAAAGCGTAAATCCCACCAATCAGTTCTTCCTGCAGAGCTGATGAAGAGACATGCATACAACAAACATATGATGGCTTTTTGTATGCACTTCTCCCAACATCTGAATTTCTGTGAGCGTGTTGCCATAGAAAACACATTTTAATCCAAGAATTATATCACAAAATTCATAGAAGTAAAAACACTTCTCACCCACCAAAGTTTTCCCATATTATTTCTGGACATGCAATTAAGTTGGTTTATATTAAAATGTGAACTAAATGGATTTCTTAAGAATGAACATGCCCAATATTATTGCTGTTTATACAAACCTTTGGATCAGAATTGAAGTACATGAGAACTTTTTCATTGAGTGGGAGTCTAGCTATATCGAAGCGCACTGTGAAAAGATGCTCATCTTGGCAGATATCTTCATCATAGACACTCAGCTCCAGCATGTTCTGAGGGGCAAGGGAGAATTATTCATACAGTTGTTGTGTACATTCCATGTAAAAAAGATATAAGATTCCATATAAAAATGGCATGGAATGCCTTCCATGTAAAACATTTGGTCTCTCTAGTTTACAAAAGTGAAGGTAATACAGGCAAGGCATGATTTACCCTAGTTCTCTTAGGCACATGGGCATAATGTGTTCCATTCTGTAGAGCAGTTCATGATCTTTGGATTCTGGGAAAACCAGACCCATTCTCTCTGCACTTTAATTTTTCCAGTTAAAGTGCAGAGGGAAGTTTTGCATGGCACAAAAATATAGAAACAGAGGGATTCAGAAGGAATCTTCTGGCCCATCTAGTCTGACTCTCGGCTCCAGCCAGCTCTGCTCATGACATGCCTACCATGTGCCTATCCTTAAACACCCTCACCAATGGGGCTTTCACCTCCCGTGAAAGCCCATTCCATACCCTAGGGGTCCTAACTGTCAGAAAGTACTTCCGGACAACCACCTCAAATCTTGGTTCCCTGAGCTTTGCTCCATTGGAACATGTCCTCCCCTCCTCTGCAGGGGAAAAAGGTCTTTATCTACCTCCCTGGGTCACCTCCTCATGTTGCCAACAGATCCCCTCAGAGTCTCCTCTTCTGCAAGCTGAAAAAACCCATTTCCCTCAGTCTCACCTCATATGCCTTCCCCCGCAAGCTGGTCACCATCCTTGTAGCCCTACGCTGCACCAATTCCAACCTGGCTATATCTTTCCTGTAAAGTGGAGCCCAGAACTGAACACAATACTCCAGTTGTGAGCACACCAGAGTCATATAGAGTGGCAGCAATACCCCTCTCGATCTAGAAGCCATGCTTCTGGCTATGCATCCAAGGGTGGTGTTTTCCTTCTTAACCACCACTTCACACTGCTGGATCATGTTCAGCCTGCTATCCACAAGTACCCTGAGATCACTTTCACAAGTGCTGTTCTCCAGCCAGTCCGCCCCGCCCTACCTGTGACACCTATTCCTGTGTCCCAAGTGTCAGACCTTCAAGATATGAAATAACGGTTGCTCAGTAGTGGCCACCGCCCCCATTTCAGTATCGTCTGCAAGACTGGTCATCCCTTCTTCCAGGTCATTGATGAAAAGATTGAACAGATGATAAGCCTCTCCATCATCTTTCCCAGAATGGATGTAAGGCTAACTGGCCTATAATTCCCCTTGTCTCCTCTACTTCCCTTTTTGAAGATTGGGACCACTGACACCACCCTCCAGTCCTCTGGAACCTCGCCCATTCTCCACAAGGGCTCAAAAATGGAGGCCAACGGGCATGAAAGAACCCTTGCCAACCCCCAAAGTACCCTTGGGTATAACTTGTCAGGGCTTGGCGCCTTTGTAATGTCTAGTGCCCTGTGGAGCTCCTTCACTACTGTGTGTGTGTGTCGGGGGGTAACTCTAAACTGTGCCCCTAAATCCCCAGCCTCATGTGCCCCCCCCACCATCCTGCTTTAGGGAGAACACAGAGGCAAAATAATCATTTAGCATCTGTGCCTGTTCCCTCACATCAGTCACCAAACCCCGCTCTGCCTTATTAAGCGATCCCACCACCTGTCTCCCCTTCCTCTTGCTATTTACATGCTGATAGAAGCCCTTTTTGTCACTCCGATATTCTTTGTAAGTCTCAGCTCATAATCAAGCTTATTCTCAGCCTTGCAAAGAATCCTTCTGCAACAAGCCTCCTCTTCCCGGTATAACCTTTTGTCCACTTGTTCCAGTGTCCATTTCCTGCAAAGGTTCCTCTTATGTCTAATTCCCTCTTATCACCTCTCTTTGCAATCCAAAGGCACCTCTAAATGTGGAAACGGTCTTGTAATGTAAAAAAATGTCTGGCAGCAGGCCATTTGGCTGCTTAATTATGCCAGCTGTGCAAAAAATTTTTTTACTAATAATACATCTCAGCTTTGTTGTATTGCTTTCAGTAGATCAAAAGTCAGGGCTTATTATACAGAGACAAACATGAAGAACAATCTAAGCTTGACCTATGAACCATGTTTTGTTAACATTACCAGTTAGGATTTGTGTTTCTTCATATAAATATCACATAATATGAGGATTTAAATGTAAGTTTGGCATACCAGAATATTAGCTAAAGAGTAAATATTGTGTAGATGTTCCATGTCCTTTCAACATATATAATAGAATCAAGTGAGTAAGCTTTGTGTGTTAGCCTTGTGGATTGAATTTTTTTTCCAAAGGATTTTCAGGAGGAGAAAAATAAGCTTTCAGCCACAATAAAATCTCATTATTTTAAACATTCTAATTCCCCTTACTACTGATCTGCAGTATTTTAACTTCCTGAGAAATTACTTTAAGGAGAAGGTAGGAACATCAAAACTCAGCAATCATAAGGGACAATCAGTTCCTTACTTTCACTCTACGCTGGACCATGAAATGAAATGTTTCATTCCAGACTGGATCTTTTGAGTTTTGAACAGTTTTTGTTCGGAACTGAAGGGAGGAAGCAGTTGGCAGCCATAGGATCAAATAGCAATCACTCTGAGATACTGTTGAGAGAAATTAGAAATTAATTGAAGTTATAAAATTAATCACATAAATTAATCACAGATATAATATACCCTGCCACTATTGCTTGTGGAATCAGGAGGATGGGAAGAGAGTGCATGTTCAGATTTCTCTCTATAGAATAGGCTATGCATGCATATGTGCATATGTTACTATTTCCAATCCTGCTCAAAATAACAAACATTTGATAGCATAGCATAGTGCTAAATGTTATTGGCTGCATTTACATGTAACAGTAAGTCATGCTTTATGTTAATCATGCTTTGTTGCTTTAGGGTGCACTCCTACAGATTTCACCCTCAGTACTGAGAAGTGCCTGCATGTGCAGGCTTAGATGCATCCAAGGCAAAGGAGGGAAAGTGATGGAGGCATCCTCTGCCCCACTGCACCTCCCACTCTGCATTTTAGCTAGATTGCCAAGTTTGGCTGTCTAGCTGAGGCACTTTAGAGCAGGAGGGAAGGAGGCCGGGGTGCCATTAGGCTAGCTCATATTTTGGTGACCCCAGGCTCCTCTCCTCCTGGATCACCCCAAACTGGTTGGGTGGCAGCCAGTGTATTCTTTCCACGCTGTCTGAGCAGTATGTCAGGGAAGGTAAGTAACAAAAGCAATCCAGAGATAAGCCACAGTTATGTGTCCAGGCACCACAAGAGGCCATGATGTAAATAAGTCAAGCTGGAGAGAGGGAATGTGAAGGGAAGCAGGCCCATTCCACCAGCCCTGCTCAAACACTGCTTAATCTTCCCCCCTCCTTCCTTATCATCACTTTTTCTTTGAGTGCCATGTCTTCCTACATTGTAAGTCATCAGGCAGAGAATATCAGTGCTGTAAAATGAGGTAAGAACTAGACAGTAGAGGCTGAATTATATGGTTTTGCTGTCTGGGGAAAGAGAGACACTGACAGGTCAGGTGATCTTCTCATTACTGATCCTAGCAAAGGAGGCTTACTGCAGATTGTGTAGATGTTTCCTGTCCTTTCAAGATATTGCTGGGAGGCAAAATAAAAGGTGTGAGAGGATCTGGCCAACAGCAGTTCCCTTCTCTTTTTCAGTAAAGTTGTGGGGAGCTGCTGAAACAACCACTGCTTAAGCATTGTACCCAAGTCCCCAAACCTGACATGGTCTGAGGACTTCATATTGTCCTATGGTGAGTGTGTTATGGATGGTTTAGCTGGTAAACCTGCAAAGTTTCAGGTTTCTGAACCCCACCCTTTTGATCCTTTTCACCCTTGGAATATGGCCCAAGAGTGTCTCCAAAATGGAATCTGGCCCTCAGGCTCAGAGAGGTTCTGTGCCCTGCTTCAAGCTGTGAGCTGGACTGATCTGTGAGTTGGACTAAAGGAACATGGGGAAGGGGATCATTAGCCCGGGACAAAATGGCCCCTCTGGCAGGAACTCTCTGAATTCCCTTCTCCGTCTTTCAGTAAGAGTCTTTAAGCTGTGTGTGTGTGTGTGTGTGTGTGTGTGTGTGTGTGTGTGTGGGTTGGGGGAAATTCCCCCAAACAGTTTGAAGTCTTGCAGAGGTAAGTCTGTGGAATTGTACCCACAGATTCAGACTGACTCTCTGTTACAAGCAAACTTCTGAGTCTCCTTTAAACAAAGGCATGCATGCCAAGCTTGCTCAAGCCATGACTTCTCTCTCCTTAGGCCAGAAGCAATGGGAGATGCTGTTACTTCCTGGTTCCTCCCAGGGAAATGACCCATGAGTTCTGAAGCTAATAGTTCTTTCATGTTATAAGGTGGAAGAAGAAACAGTAGTGCAGCTAGGAAAATTTAGACCCTGGATTTTATGGTTTTGCAGGCCTCCCAGGTTAGATAACCATGTGAAGCACACAACTAGCATCTTTCTTCTCTCCCTCACCTTGTCACTGCTCCATGTGGTGTAGTGGTTAAGAGCATGGGACTGGGACTCAGGTGACTTGGATTTTAGTCCCTGCTTGGCCATGGAGCCAACTGGATGACTTTGGACCAGTTACAGACTTTCAGCCCAACCTACCTCACAGGGTTGTTGTTGTGGGGATAAGACTGAGAGCAGCAGGAGGAGAATGATGTAAGCCACTTTGAGTTCATAAGAAAAAAAGGAGGATATAAATCTAATAAATATTTCTGATACACTAGAGCAAAAAAACGGACTGTTTGTCAACACAGAGCATGTGGATTTTCACATTTTATACTCAATTCAGTGTGGCAATCATTAACGGGACAAAATGGAATTTGTTTCAGCTACCTTGTCAGTTTGCTTGGGAATAAGCACCATTTTGTTGCAGAAAAGGACCATGTGGTTTTTAAAGTAAACAGAACAAAATGAGCCTCTGTACTCATGTAGATGCTACCTGGTCTGAATGAATGAATGAATGAATGAGTGTGTGTGTGTGTGTGGGTGTGGGTGTGTGTGTATGAAGTTGAAGTGAACAGCCTCAGCTGGTTCAGGTGCAGACATCAGATTTTCAGCACTGGGAAGAAATGGCTGCAGAATGTAGGCTTTTGCTGTGTTTGGTTTCCCTTAACCTATTATTATTTCATGCCTTCCATGGCTCACTTGCCTTGATTAGGAAATTAAGAACAACTCTCCCTTGTAAACCTAATTAGGCTGCATGATTTTTTGTCAACCCAGCACTGTGGAGAAGAGAATAATAAAAATGCTTACAGGTATCTGCTCTCCGGACATTCCTTGCTCGGATTGCTCTTACCCTAAGCAAATAACAAGGTGATGCCTCTACCTGCAATAAAATGGTATGCAAAAGGCAACATTAAAATGTGAGCTGTGAGCAAGAAATGTAAATGCCTGATAGGAGAATTGCAGTGAATAAATATCATAAACCCAAAAGAGTACGTAAAAGCTCAGATAAAACAAGGATTTTCCCAGAAAATTTTAGGATTACATTTTAGGTCATATTCAGTTTTCTGAGCCAAGGATATGCCCCAAAATAAGGAAGGAGTTCTTGGATATTAATTGTCTTTCAAGTTTTGGGAACAGTTTTATAGACAGAATTATAAAACTGGAAGGAGTTTTAAAGTCATGTACTTCATGCATCTGATCTTTCCTATCTGTACTATAAGACAATATTTTAGAAATATTTTTGATGAAGGTAAGAGTAATCATAAAAATGTGATTGATTTGAAATTTTGCACCTTCATGTCTCCCTCACTTTTGTAAATAATAATTATAAAACTTTTGAAATACACATACCCCTCAATGGATCTCATAGCAAACAAATGCATATTAAAAATGCTGACATAGCAACAACCAATAAACAACAGGCAGCTCATAGTATCTGTGGAAATTTAATGAACAATCAGAATTAAGCCTTCTGAAAGAGAAACTATTATTTTCCTTAAAAGTTCCAGCAAGAACCCAAAGGGTACCATTGCAGAAACATTTCTATATGTCCCTTTGTGCCTTTTTAAGATCAGGTGTGGGCAACTTGTGACTATACGTACGACATCCATACATCTCCCATCAAGCCTTAGCTTAGCTAGAATACTCAGCAGTGAAGGATGATGGAAGTTATAGGCCAAAAGCTGTCCACTAGTAGAGGCATCTAGAAATAATGGAAAAAAAAAAGATCCCAGTGCTACAGTGTCATATTCAAAGGGGTTTGATTATTATGAATGGCATGTCTATTCTGTCTCTAAACCAAGGCAGCTTCCAGAGAATATTAAAAACTTTCAAAATAATCCCAAACCATAAAATAAAAAAAATATTAAGCAGCTAAAATCCTTCAGCTGTCCTAGGCTTGGATCATTTAGCAGTTTGAAGGCCACCCTCAAAAGCAGCACTTTACATTAGACTTAGCAACAAATAAGAAATAAGTGCACATCTATCCACTGACCTGTGTTTGTCACATTTAAAACTTCTTTCTGTGCTGATTAGAAAATACCATCTTTCATTAGTTAGTTGGTTTATTATTTAATTTAGATCCCTTCTTTTTTTCTTGTAAAGACCCTAAAGCAGTTTACATAATGTAATCCTTGTGAGAGTATGAGTAATACATACCTATCAACAACCATGTGAGATAGGTTAGTTTGAGAGTCACCTGGTGACCTTTAGGACCAACATAGACTAAAACCTGGACCTTCTGAATCCCAATCCAACACCCTAATAACTGCCAATGATGCCTAAGGTGACCAACAGATTAAAATAACAAAATATACAGTGGAACAGTAGAAATAACAGTGGAAATAAAAGCAAGAATTTTCAATGTAAATACCTCAAGCTATTATATTTATCCTATGGATATGAATTGAATTAATAATCATCTCCTGTCTCCCAAGAAATCCTGGGAATCTTAACCTAGAGATTAGGGAAAGAATCTGTATCAGAAAAGGCAAGCTGGCTCAGACAGATGGTATCCTGTCTGGCCAGACCAGATGCATCTGGGAAGCCCACAGGGAGGGCAAGTGGGCAATCGCCCTTTCCCAGTATAGCTGCCCAATGGCTGGTTTTCAGAGGCATGCTGCCTCTGGCCTGGAAGTAGTGCCTGGTAAACACTGAGAGCCTTACCTTTCATTAATCTGCCAGATTCCACTGAAAACCATCTATTTTGGTACTGTTTACCACATTATTTTGTAAAACAGCCTCTTGCTCAACTAATTTCCCAGATTTCTTTGACAGAAGCAGTAACTGCTATATATATACACACACACACACATACCTGTATAGCAAAATGCTTAACGACTCTCATTGAAAACAAAGCCACAGACTTTCTGTTGCCCCACCTAGTTGTGATTCTTACCTGATATGATACACTTTCACATGTTTCCATTGTTTTCACTGGCAAGTATGTGCCAGCCAGATATTCTTGATGGCAGTGGAGGATAACACTGTGAATACGCGCACAATTCTACACTCTTTAAGAAAGCAGAAGTGGAGAAGTAGTTATTTCGCAAGTGAATCGGAGCCACACCCCCTCTCATTTCTGAAACAAAAAGAATTCCCTCCTCCTACTTTAGGTTGCTGCTTGGAACAAATGCTAGGTGAAGCAATGTCCTTAAATGTGCATGGAGTTGTGCATTAAGAGCAGCTGTACCTTTTTTCTCAACTATGCTATTACGTCCTTTCCCCTCTCCTCAATACTCTGTCACTCCACTTTTTTTTTGGGGGGGGGGATTCATTATGTATGGTTTTGTTTATGTAGACTTGAGACAGGATCGTATTTCCTGTTCTTAGCATAAATTGAGTGAAATGTATTTAGGGGGTACCATTTTTCATCAAGATTTATCTGTTAGATTTGGAAGAATGACTGTTGTACATTTGAGTGGCACCTACATCCTCATTTGTCTCCTCACCAGGTTCTCTGCATGGATCTTTTTTGCTGTACTGAAGTGATCTTCTTTTCATGTCATAGTATCAGGCTATGAAAAACCACTGTGTGCAAATGGCCTCTTGCAGTTCTCCGCACTTTGCATTTCATGGAGAAGAGAAATTCTCCATCAGTTTCTCAGGGATCAGACTCACCATTTGCAGTGGCAGTAGCACAGCTTTGTGCCTTTTTTCCCTCACCCCCCCCCTTCTTTGCTTCTGCCACTTATAGTGAGAGCAGCCCCAGTGTTGGCAGCCTGGTGACCACATTGCATCTGCCACAGAGACCTCACCTGTTGTTCTGAGACACTGTAGAAAGGACCGGCATCCACCAGCACATGCGTAAAAATGTTGGAGCCTATGCAAAGAAAATGCTACAAAGTGGCCTCCTTTCATCCGGGATGTGAGGGGGAGGGAAGCAATTTCTCCAATAAATGTCTTCTGAGAAATTTCAGCTCAGCTCTAAGAAGAAACCCACTTGATTTCAATCCACTACAATAAGGTGCTTTTCCTTATAGAAGACCTTTTTTTATTAATTTGGAGCTTTGAAGGTTTTGTTCTTCTGTCTTGATTTTGTATTTTAAGTTATATATATTCCAGCAGAATAATAGGAAGAATAGATGTAGGTCATCTGAAGGGTAGCTGTGTCTCAGTGGCTTAAAGCTTCTAAATATAACTGATAGTTTACTGTAGAATGTGGGGCAGATCGCAAACTCCACCTGATCTTCCAGAAGGTGCTGCAAGAGAAATGGGGCCTGTTCATTCTTTCAGTGCTTGAGGGCCAGTCCCAAGACTGAGTTTGTCAGAGTGATGACCAGATATATATTGATGGCCAGATGCTAGTAAAACATTCTGCTTGCTTGCTTTCTTGTTTTTTATGAACCAGAGTCATCTGCTTAAAATTAATGTTACTTGTATAACAAGTATTGGAGACCTCAAAGCTTGCTTTTTCAACTTCAGTTATGACATGGACGTGCTTGCAATTATAGCTTAATTTAAAAAGCTAATATTAGGAATTGTGACAAGCCCATCCTGAGTGAAAAGAATTGGTGGAGTCAGTTAAGGGAAGGGTTGGAGCATGAAGAGACTGTTGAAACCTGTACAAGCATAATAGGGCTAAAGTGGCTGTTTCTGGAGAATACATTCAGAACAAGTGTGAAGCACAGGCAACTGATTCAGGTTTTGGTCCATCTAGCCAGTCATCCTGACACTGGATGGGTTCATACAACAAGACAACCAATGAATAATAACAGTCGATGGTTGGTGGTTGTATTGGGTGAACCCACAGTAAGAACCTGAGGAAGGTTATAGGGTTTGTTTCATTCCAGATGGGTGGATTGGGACTAGAACATGACTCATGACAAACCTACCCTGCGAGTGTGCCACTCACCCCACCTTTTAAAGAGACCTTGAAGTCTGCCAGTGGAAGTTTGGCACTTGCCAAATGGATTTTCCTTTCAAAAGGGTGGGGGGAACATAAGAATATAAGAAAAACCAAGGTCCAGCACTCTGTATAAATGGTGGCAAACCAGCTGCCTACAGGATCTCTTAAGTAGGATGAGTGCAAGACCTCCTGCTGCCCAAGCTTTCAGCAACTGGTGTATGCAGGTATGACACTGCTGGTGAAGGAGGTAGCACATAGCCAATAATGCTAGTAGCCACAGATAGTCTCTACTTCCAGGAACATGTCCAATCCTTTTTCAAAGCCATCCAGATCGGTGGCCATCACCACTTCTCATGGCAGCAGATTCTGCTGTTTAACCATATTCTGTGTGGAGAAATATTTCCTTTTCCTTTTACCTGTGTTTTTTCTGCTAATCACATTCAGGGCTTCATGCTAAGTTATCACAAACCACGCTAAGCTATGTATATTTTGCTTGAGTTTGTCTTCAATGTGACATGAATATGAAGCCAAAACTACAATGCAATCATGGCAATTTTCTCTAGGGAGCACTCAGTGAGTTTTGTTCTAATAACTGTTTGTGCCTCTGGACTGATTATGGATTACTTCCAGAGTCATGTGGATGTCTTCTTGTAATAAAGAGCAACTATTATGCCATTTGCCTGGAAGAAGTTTCAAACTAAGGAATCATTAGTGATACTGTGGCAACTCACTCCTAGGCTGGTTTGTCAACCCTTGCTGAAACTGTTTCTTGCATTGTATTATTAGTCACTGCCTGTGGAAACACTACAAAGCACACGAGGCATGTAGTTGGATTCAGATTTAGCCATGCTTCAAGCAGATATACTGAGATTGATGAATGTTAAGTTAGCCATGGCAAAACTGAGTCTTATTGATTTCTGTGTTCTGCACTAACAGTAAAAATATGTTTCTCAAAAATGTATTTGTCCATCCATAAATTATGCCTAAAACACACCCATTCAAAAGTTGAAAGCTTTATCCTCAACCCATTGTGTTTGTGAAGGTGGCTACTTGTCCTTCCAATGTTCTAGTAGTATTTTTGCTGTCAAAATGGCATCAACAATCTGTTTACATTGACCTTGCATAAAGTTCCAAGAAATTGATAGATAGTTTAGAAAGGCATGACTAGTCATAAATATTAAAGAACTTTCTATCACAAAGTGTGTCAATATTATTACCCAAACAGAAGCAGCCATGAGGCATTGCCAAAACATATGAATTATAGATGTACTAGCTGTGTTACACCTCCTACAATTGGCTGATTTGAATAAATCATTATTGAAGAGATGTTGTAACATCCAATATACTTGAAAAATCAGTTCACTTACTTTAATCTGATTTTAACCACTGAATTAATATCCATTACTTCTTCTGAGAGAGATGCCAAAAAAACCCCTCTTCCATTGATTGGTCAAAATGGAGCACTCTTTATTCCATTCTTGCTTAAGACCCTGTATATATCTTCGCTAACAATAGATATCTATAACATGGATTGTGGGCCAGTGTAGCTGTTCAGTCTCTGGAACTGTAAAAACATCAGGGCTGAATTTATATTCTAACTAATGTTTCAACTGCATGTATTGCCATTTGGCCATAGCTGGAAAATCATTTTTAGTACTCAATTATGGTAGAAAGTTATTATCTGGACCTACAAGCCAATCTGCTCAAGCCTTCCAAACAAATGTTTTCTTGCCAGTCATTAAATATGGGTTGTAAAAATAAATGAAACTCTGATTGATATGTGTGCCATACTGTACCTCTCTTATTCCCATACCTGTAGGAGATACCCTATCTGTTTTAATATAGCAAAAATCCAATGTTTGGGGTTACATACATGAAGATTTCAAAACCGACTGGGACAAAAGTCTAATAGGATCAAGAGAAGACCAAAATTTAGTGCAAGTCAACAGATAGGCCTGATGATATAATGAGAAATTGGGGAAGCCAAATCCATCCTTTTCTTTCAAAAGTTGCATCCTTTTCAAGGGTATTCATGGTGGAGTGGGACCGCAGGAATTTACATAACAAAGCACTGAATGTTTGGAAATAGTTGTGAAGTATAAATAGAGGAATATCATGTAAAACAGAAACAATCTGAGGTATTACATTCCTGTTAAGCTTATTTGCTCTACCCATAAACTCAGCTTTAAATATGCTTGTCTATCCGTATCTGGTAAGATCTCATTAATCGGATTACACAAATTTAGAGTAATCATTTCATTCATTATCTCTAGGATTAAATATTCCCAAGAGTGTAATGAAATCTGGGCAGGTCTAAATTTCCTGTTTCATTTTCCAATCAGCATCTGTCTAGGTTTTAACCAGAGAAGTAAGCAAAAATCTCAGTTGTCTGCATCAAAGCTGGAACGGACAGTTCCCTCTGGGCATGACTTAGCTTGGATCCAAGCCATGGTTTAAAAATACTGTAAAGCCACTTACACATTCTAAAGCCACTTAACAAATCTGTATAGCTGCAAGCAAGTATGCAACTAGGAGTAGGGGCCATTCATTTTTTTCATCATCTGCTTCCCTAGGGTATTCTTATGTCTTTCCAGCAGGTGGAGTCTGTGGATAAAACATCAAGTGCTGGAGAAGAATAGAATTAAGTGCTTAAGCATTAATAATACTACCAGGTATTATTACTATTATTAATTTCTTTCCTATACTGTATCCAAAGCTCTATGGGTGGTTCACAACAAAAGAAAAAAGCTACAGATAGTAATCTTCCAGGCAAAACCAGTAGCTAAGCTATTAATGTTTTTTTTACCAAGAACTGGGGTTGACTATACCACCCAGTCTGACATAAGAACAGCCATACCAAACTACCAAGTGTCCATCTAGAAGTAACAGTAGCTTTCTAGTTGCTTGCATGAAACCCACACGAGGGATAGGTCCCTCCTGCCCATGTTCTCTGCAGTGGATGTACATAGGCATACTGTCCTGTTACTGGAGGTAGTATATAGCCACTAGGACTAGTAGTCATCGATAGCCACCTCCAGTCCTCCTTTGAAAACACCCAGATTGGTGGCCATCACTGCATCTTACAAAAGCCATTTCCATAGTTTGATTTTGTACTGTATGAAGAGTATTTTATCTGTCCTAATCTGTCCTAATGTTTCATCAAAAAGCTTAATGGGATGTTCCTGGATTCCAGTATTATAACAAGGGAGAAACATGTTGCCCTATTCGCTTTAGCCATACATACATACTTTTGTACATCTCTCTCCTGTCTCACCTTCTTCTCCTCTTTCAGCTAAACAGTCCCAGATATCGTAGCACTTTCTCACAGGCAGTTGGTTCAGCCTTTCTCATGTGCAGTGAGCAGAATTGCACATTTATTCCATGTGTGGTCACCATAGATTTGCATCAACTCAGTATGATACTGGCATTGTGTTTTCAGTTATTTTTCTAATTATATCTAACATGGCATTTGCCTTTATCACAGCAACTGCACACTGGGTTGTCCATAGAACCTCAAGATGTCTATCTTGAGCAGCAAGTGCTAGTTCACGTCTCATCATTTTTTTCTGATGTTTGAATCCCACTGCTGCTAGCTTTTTTAGGCCTTTGACAAAGTGCCCCATGATATCCTGGTGGAGAAACTGAGGCGTTTTGGGATACACCAAAGCACTGTCCGGTGGATTAGGGCATGGTTGACTGACCGAAAGCAGAGGGTAACCATTAGTAGGGAATCATCAGGATGGCAGCCAGTGACAAGCGGGGTCCCCCAGGGCTCTGTCCTGGGGCTGATCCTGTTTAATCTTTTCATCAATGACATGGAAGAAGGGGTGAACAGTCTGCTGATCAAATTTGAAGACAACACTAAAACTGGAGCAGTGGCCACAACTGAGGAGCAGGTACTCCAGATCCAAAAAGGATCTGGACAGACTATGGAAGCGGGCAGGAGACAACAGGATGGCGTTCAATGTGGATAAGTGCAAGGCACTTGGGGCATAGGAATAGGTGTCATAAGTACAAGTTAGGTGACAAGTGGCTGGAGAGCAACACTTGTGAAAGGGACCTCGGGGTACTGGTTGACTGCAGGCTAAACATAAGTCAGCAGTGTGATGCGGTGGTCAAGAGGGCGAACACCACCCTTGGTTGCATAGCCAGAAGTGTGGCTTCTAGATCAAGAGAGGTATTACTACCACTCTATACGACTCTGGTGCACCCACTCAGTTCTGGGCCCCTCATTACAGAAAGGATATAGCCAGGTTAGAGTCAGTGCCGTGTAGGGTCACAAGGTTGGTGGCCGGTTTGCAGGGGATGGGGTATGAGACGAGACTGAGGGAACTGGGTCTCTTCAACCTGGAGAAGAGGAGACTCAGAGAGGATCTGTTGGTGACATACGGGTATGTGAGGGAATGTCACATGGAGATGGGTAGAGAGCTGTTCTACCCTGCAGAGGAAGGCAGGACACGCTCCAATGGAGCAAAGCTCGGGGAACCGTGGTTCCATTTAGATGCCAGGAAGCATTTCCTGACAGTTAGGACCCCGAGGGTGTGGAATGGGCTTCCACAAGAGGTCGTTGAGGCCCCATCGGTGCAGGTGTTCACGGATAGGCTGGACATGCACATGGTGGGCATGTTGTGAGCAGAGCCGGCTGGTGCTGGAGGTCTGACTAGATGGCCCAGAAGGCCCCTTCTGACTCGCTCTGTTTCTCTGTTTCTTGAAGATGGGATTTTTTTGTCCTTACATTTTGATGCCTGTTCTCCCAATTTGGAGAGATACTCTTGAAGTTCTATGAAGTCCCTTGCTTCAGCTGCACTCAGTAATTTGGTCTCATCAGCAAACCTGTTCACAGTACTGCTAACTCCTAAGTCCACTTTATGTATAAGCACATCAAAAAGCATTGGTTTTATTGCAGATCCCTGTGGAACCCAATTGTTTACATCTTTCACTTGAGAGAATTTACCTCTCAGAGAATTTATTCTCTGCTTTCTCATCTTTAGCAGTTACTGATCCATAAGGATATCTTTATTCCACAACTGCTAAGTTTGCTCAGGAATCTTTGGTGAGAGGCTATATTAAAGATTAAAAAGTAGTCCAAATAATCAGTGCATGTTTATTGCCACTCAAAGAAATCTAAAATGTTAGACAGACATGAATTACTTTTCAGCATGGCTTGTCCTCCACATTTATCTTTAATAAAGCCTTCACCAAACTTACCTGCAACAGATGTTAAGCTAGCCAGCCTGTAATTTCCTGGATCTCCCTTGGATCACTTTTTAAACATTCATGTTAGAATAATCAGATTAGAATAAGAAAAATTTATCAAGTTTATGCACAAATTCCTTATCTTGCTAATATATTTAAAGAATTCTTTAATGTTGTCCTTGATGTTGCTAACAATATGTTCTTCAAAATTATTTCTTTTATTTTCCCCCAATCTCATTATCTCTTCGTATCTCTTTGTGCAAGTTTGTGCTCCCCTTTGTTCTTCACATTTGCACAAGAGTTCTATTTTCCAAGGGAAACCTCTCTAATAGCTTCCTTTGCACTGAGCTTGGTTTATATCAAGGTCGGGTAGCAGAATGGCACTGGAGGAAATGTAAGTTGGGAATTCTTGCTTGCACATGCCTTGAGTACATCTACTCTTGTTTATTATACCACAGCAAGTGTCCCACATAAAACACTGATTTCTGGATTTATTTCTTGGTATGCACATTCTTACAAAATACTCCCTGCAAAAGCCAGATGCAATCCTAAATGTGAGGACATGATTCTTTCATGTTCATGCTGCACTAGTGGCATTACAACATATCTGTTGGCAGGTACATTCTGCAGTCACCACTACTATTAAAGTAAGATACTTCACACTTCTAAAGAAATGACCTATAATCAATTTCCTCATACTCATTTATTTTGATGCCCTGTATATTCTGTATGTATATCTTGTTTGTTTGTTTCTGAAGAGAACTTGGAAATAATGAGAATGCATTACTATCTGCTTGCATTTTCGAAAAATAGTTCAAGGGGCAGAGTTGCTTCTAGTGTCAAGTGTTGTTTCATTTCTCCACAATATTTTAAGGATTCCCAAAGATTCTTCAGTTGAAGAACGTCACTGCCAAAATAATGTTTTCCCCTCTTTATTTACTTGTGTTGTAGAAATTTAACATAATATACTAGTTTTGTACATTTTGTACATATGTTTTGAATATTAAAAAGATCCAGGAGATCTTTTCCAAGAACCTCAATTTCTAAGAAAAGATATTCTGTTTTAAGGAACTCTGCATGCCTTCAAGAAAGGAGTTTCTGTTACTTCCCAAGACAGCTCTGTGTTTTTGTTGAATTATTATTTAATAATAAGATTTTCTTCCATTTTTCAGCCAAAAATTCATGTTGTTCTTGTCCTTTCCTTGGAAGATAAAGAGTTAATGCAGTGCACCTCCTCACTGACTTTGGGTCACTGTAGACTTGTGTGTCATGTTCCCTTCACAGGCTCATGCACTTATGGTTCTGCCATGCTTCTGGGATTTGGTAGTCCCCACCAATTCCCATTCTTATTATATTTTGCCCTTTGTGGGATAAAACAAGCAAAACTCCATGTTCTTGTCCCAGGGAGCTTTCAGCCAGAATTTACACCAGGGCAGGGGTAAAATGAACATGTGAGATTGGGTTGTAGCAGCACAGGGAAAGGTGTGCAGTCAAAAGGAATCAGTGTAATATCCTCTTTTCATGTACTTAAGCTTTGCTTCAGATGTGGAGTAGGGATGTGGGGTTTGTAAATGCTTTATGGGAGCTGTTTTTGAGTTAGTGCCTGAAGGCAAAGGCAACATATCATAGGCTGTGTTGGCAGGTCTTCCAATAAGTTCTTTTTCTCCTTTTTTCAGCTGACACTGACAACATCCACACTTGGTAATCACAAGTTAAAATGAAACAACCATGTGTTTCCTAAGCTAGCCTGTGTAGGCGTTTCCTCTTCATCATCTTTGTATGTTCTTTTCAAAATCTTTCCTTTTTGAACTGTGCTGCTTGGATCTGAGGATAACCATGCTGCAAGCACCCAAGCAAGGCACTGTCAGTATATAGGAGATCAGGCCTATTCACACTGAAGCTGAGCAAAAAAGGCACCTCCAAATTCTCTATGGTTTTTGCAGTGAGAGAGGTAAAATTCAGAAGGTGCTCAAAAGAGAAACATTTCAAACATACATCAGAAAATTATTTTCTGAAACATTTTGCCTCAGCCTTAATTTGAATGTTTGCAGGGAGAACTGGGGTGAGCACTGGCATGCGCGAAGACTGTGTCAGGTGGGGCTATGCTCACCTTGAACCTGGAAGCTGCTGCTGTGACTACTTTCCCCTTCCCCAAGGCCCAGATATTTATCTTGGGCCACAGAAAGGCTGTGTTGGTGGATGCTCTTAGGCCTTGCTGGAACACCATTTCCTACAGGAACCAGGACAATGAAAGTCATATCTCTGATATGTATCCAATGCTGTGTGTCATTTCTGCTGAGGAGCATGCCCAGCAGTACTTTCCATCGGTGCCTTGGGAGTACTTGCTGCCTCACTTTCCACCTTCTGATCTTGCCTCAGAGACCAGAGAAGTATAAATCAGCACAGTGCAGCTTTCTAAGTGTCATTTAGCCTTTATTTCCTGCTTGCAGTGGCACAAGGTCAGAGCTCCAAGGCTCAGTTACAAAGTCGAGGTCAGTTGATTGCCCATGGTCCAAGTTCAGGGAGGGCCAGAGAAGAAAAAGGCTACTAGTGGGAAGACAAGAAGGGCGTGTGTGAGCTGTTACCCAAACTGTGTTCCAGAACTGTGTGCTTCTTTTGTTCCAGCACAGCCTGAGCCTCCAAAACCACTCCCAGAGCCCACTTGCAGTCCATCACCATCACCTGAGAATGGTCTACTCATGAGGAGTCCTTATTCCTCAGGTGGCCATTTCTCCATTTCTCCAAGCCAATGGAGCTTGCCTGTACTTCCTTGAGCTGTGGGGCCACTCGTTATGTGAATCTAAGGGTGGCATGAAGGGATAGTACAGTAGCCATCATGGCATAGTCCCAGAACTTCCTCAGGTTCTCAGCCCAGGCAGTGTTTGGTCAGGAGATGCTGGGTTTTGCACTTTCCCCAGTGCTATGGCCTAAGACTCTTGTCACCTTCTCTGGTGCTACAGGACCTAAAGAAAGTCACAGTGTACTGTCAAGTGCCAAAGTGGGAGTGGACCCCCAGGGCAATGGGCTGCTGCTGGAGCAAAGCTAATAATGAGTAAAATTGATATATCAGAATTGTTTGGAATCAGCCTGTAGTTAGCTCCCAAGTTCTGTACACTGACTTTCCATATTCTACCTATCCCTCCTCAGCATTAGCAAACAGAACTAGGGGATGCTGCAGAGAATAGGATGCCTGTGCATGCCTTTTAGATATCCACCCAGCCCTCTATCTGTATACTATGCAGTGAAGGAAAGATTGGACTGAGGTGCAAGGCATGCACAGACTTCCCATTCTCTACAGTGGTTTCTCTTGCTTCCTGTCAACATGAAAATGAGGGGAGCAGGCAGGAAAAAAACCACTCCCCTGAGCCCTGTGAAAATCCTCTGCTGGGAGACAATCTGCTTGCCCCTTGACTGGATTGTGCTTAAATGCATAACAGGAGGGTCCTGAGGGCTTTATTCCCACATGGGAAACTTCCTGGGAGCTGCATGTCAGCAAGAAAAAGTGGGCCAGTAGAGTGCCTGTTGCTGTTGTTATGTGTCTTCAACCTATGGTGGCTCTGAAGGAATGTCCTCCAAAATGCCTTGGCCTCTTATAACTGTGAAATGCCTTACTATCACACAAACCAACAAAGTCTAATCTCTGATTTGCATATTTGTGGGGACAGAAACATGACTGTTTTCACTGGATTTGTGTCTGGGAGACCATCACAGAAGTTTTGCTACTTTCAAATAATGCTAAGGTGAGTCATCATAACAGGTACTGGAAACAACTTATTGTAGGAATGTCACAGTGAAAAGACAGAATAAGGTTGCTTTATCAAAATAATATATTAAAGGTCAGTGAGCTTTGGGATAAGCCAACTTGCCGGTGAGAATATGAACAAATGAGGGAGACTCTGTAGAACAGGGAGAGTCAGAAGGAAAGAGGTGTATCTTGTTCACGCCAGTTGTCTTTCGCCAGATCAAGGTAGCTGACCAGTTCAGTAACATCCAGCTTTCCTACAGCCACACCTGCAACAGCATGAACCTCTCTGAAGGTGGTGCTAACTCTGTTTGGTGAAGAAGGGATAAGGGGAATTCAGCTTGGAATCAACTTCTAGGAAGGGCACCTCAATCAACCCTTAGCAGGTTTTTTAACTTGATGGCTCACAATTTGGCTCTTGGTATAACAAAGCCAGTCCAGGCTGGCCTACTTTCGCATAATAAAATAATATAGTCAGAGTCTGGTTTAGAATTGCTGGGAAGAAGTTGGGGAATAGGAAGAGACCAGCTGTATCCTTGACCACTATTTTTGTATCCCTCAAGATGTCTGGCCTATATCTGGCCAAATACTTGTTCTATATAATGTATCTCTATTATTAGAAAACAATCCAAGTAAATCTATGCGCCATCCCATTGCTTTAAGTATGCACATGGGTGTGTATGTGTGTGCCTGTTCATTTGATCCACATGACATTGTTATTGCTGTTAATAAGGCTTTTATAGTTTTTATAAAAAGTAGGCAAGCTATGGGCTTTTAAAATGCTTTCTTGATATTCAGTATTAAATATATTCAAGAGTGGGCCTTTGCATCTTATGATGAATCTTGCTACCCTCCCTCAAATTCTCCATTCCACCCAGTAAATCTGAAATGGTGTCTTATGAAACAGTCACTAGAGGAAAAGTGAAATTGATGCCACCAAGACTTGTAAATTAACTATACATTGCAAATCATCTTTATAGTATCCTCTGCTGGCCCCAGGTGTTCTGGGAATTAGAAACCAAGTCCTGGTTGATCCCTTCTGGTATATGGATGGATGCAGATTACTTCCAGCACTGTTGCCTTTTCCGTGCCACAGCTGTATGCAGTGCTTGCAGAATCAAGTGCTGGTTATTTAAGACATTGTATTCACTCAGGTTCAATAGTTTGTCAAAATTCTCTTCACTGTAAGTAAGGCAGAAAGTGGAATATGGGGTCCGACAGGAAGAAACGTCGACATTTCCTGCAGCCATCTCATCATGGCAGCGTTTCACACCTAGAATACAGGCACAGCAGGTTGTTGTTGGCTTATTACAAAGTGAATTTAATTGAAATTTTGATACTTCAGTCACCCCCAATTGTTGGCTGGGGTATGCTAAGACTTGTAGTCCTGCAGAACCAGAGGATACCAGGTTGAAGAAAGCTGCTCTGAGAGAGTAGTTTGTTCAATAATTTGTGTGTGCTGTTTTTAACATTCTAATGTTGAATTTTGTACCTGTTTATACAATATTTTATGTTTACTGAAAGATGAATGCAAGAAACAGTGGGTGAGTTTAGACAACATGATTACTGTCATTGAACCATGGGTGGTTGTTAAAAGATGTTGCCTGAACCCAGCCATAACAAGCTATGGCTTGTTAGTTATGATTTATTCATGAAGAGAACCAATGGTTTATTGTTGGAGATGAACTGTAGGTTGTTCACCATGCTTTGTTATATGTGCTGTGTTCAGACAGCACAGTAATGCATATTTCAGCAACAAGCCACACTCAACCTTTGTGTGTGGGTTATTGTATTGTCTGGGCCCAGTTAATGGCTTTAGATCTTATGAATGAATATCCTCCAAAATGTTCTGTCCTCTAGTCAAGGTTCAGAAGTTGCCATCCATGCTTGTTGCCAGAGAGATTTCCTTTTCTTTATTTTTGAAATGTATAACAAATGGCATATACTGCATTGGAACTAATCAGCACAAAGCCATTCAATTTTGTTAGTGGTGAGGTTGAATCCGCCACTCCATTGCAAAAATCCTGCTGGACAAGAAAATGCATAGGATTGACTTTCCTCATTTCCTAGAATTACAGAGTGCTGGGAAAGGCAATGTGCCCCACAAGGAGGGCTGATTTGCATGCAATGGTTAGCTACCCTGAAAACAAGCCACCATTAATTGGTTGGCAAACCAAATTGGAATCTTCATACTTTCCTATCCTTGATCTAGAGCAGGGGTCTCAAACTTGCGGCCCGCGGGCCAATTGCCGGGACGGGCGGGGCACGGGGGAGGGGCCCTGCGGCCTTCAAAGCACTGGCGGCGCCCGGGCCGGCCTCCGGATGAGCGGCCCACCACCACTGCGGTGGTGGAATACTTGATGTGGCCCAGCCTCACCCAGACTCTACTTTCAGCGGCCCCCAGGTAAGTTGAGTTTGAGACCCCTGATCTACAGTAAACACTGAGAAGTAAATATAGCTTGCTACCTGTTAGTAAATATAGTTTGCAGTTTGTAGGTATAAATATACCATCTAGAAAATCAACCTTCATAAATCCAGGGGCTTGCTAAACCAGACAGCATGCAGGACTTAACAAATGCGAATGGGTGAAATGAAAAATGAAACTGTAGTCTCAAGGTAAGCTGTAGCCAGCTGCTTGGCTAATACCAGTGACTTACCAGGTGCTTTATAATATCGGAAGGTATCGTTCACTAATGGGAAGAACAACAGGATTGGACAACCAGGGGCCCTCGACTGATCAAAGAAGTAGCATTCCTTCATCTGTTTCTTGTCCTCTTCCAAAAGGACAACTTTTGGGAATGGAATACCATGGTTTGTGTAGTAGTTGCTAGCTTGTTCTAGAGCCTACAATCACATGGAAGTAAAAATCAGAGGTTCCATGAGAACTGAGCATGAACCATGTGGAAGTCCAGCAATTAATGTTACATTGCTTTAAAATAGCAGTTAGTTCTAGAAAAACTATTAGAACTAGAAACTTCAGGATCAAAAGAAATTACATGTAAGGCTTTGAATGTATTTCTGAACAGAATAATTATACAACGTAGCAAAACAAATATTAGAATTAATAGTTAATAAGAGCAATAATTTTGTATGCAGTCATATATATATATTAATATTGCTTGAACTTGGGAATTCATGGCTTACAGATTATGAGTGGGCTTAAATGTATGTCTCAGTGACATTATGAGATTCCATGATCTTATTTTCACCCATTTCATTCAAAGGATGGAATCCTTCATGTTGGTCCCTGGCTCTTGTGTCCATGGTGCTTTGAACTGTGTTTGTCAAGCAGTAGCCATCCATATTATAATGCAAGCCCTTTTCTGAAGTTTATGGCCTGAGACTGTGTTATTCAAAGGGCATAGTCAAAAGTCTCACTGGGATGCCCAAGTCAAACCCTCACAGGCAAGGAATCAGTAATGTCTGTCCACTAGCATAAATACATGGCACTAGTGGAAACCAACACTTGCATAATGTCAATAGTACTTGCTAGTTTCCCCATCACTCTCCACCCCCAGGAATGTATTGTATACAGCTTCCAGAATATTTTATACTAGTATGGATAGGTGATAAATTTGTTGGCTTTGCAATCTTGGTGGTAAATTAACCAGTTTGCACTTCTTGAATTCAAATACAGATCTACATACAGAAATAGCAATAGCTACATTTTTAAGTTTGGGATGCCTTTGGCAAAACAAATAAATATGCATTTGAAAACATGCAGTGATTTGAAAAATGCACATGGTAAATGTTTACTTTTGAAAAATGCACACAGCACACATTTGTATAAAAATGAATTCATGTAGAACATGTGCAGAAAAAATATGTATGAATTCCTGTGCAGGAGATAAAAACCATACAGTTAGATGGAGAACTGAAATGCAATGAGCACAGCAGTGGGAAAATAAGAATCTGTATGCAATTCAGCTTGACAGATTTACCCATTCATACATACAAATCTCTATTACCGGAGAAAAATAAGAAACAGTAGTTCAAACCTATTACCATGCCCTGTGGGCCTGAACTGTAACTGAAATGCAGAATGACATCGACTTTCCTCTCTTTCCTCAGAAGTGGTGGGCAACTTGTGTTGATGAAAAATCCAGCATCTATCAGTCCCAAGTAGTCTTCATGTTCCGTTAGTTGGTTGGGACAACAATCCAACACAGTGCCTGAAAATAAAATAATTTTTCATTATCAGAAAACTACATTCCTCCCTCATTTTTTGGAAACTTCATACATTAAAAATGTTTAGTCAGTGTTCACCCCAGCTTACAATCCTGTGTCACACTGGAGTAAACTGCATTGAATTCAGGTGAGCTACAAATATCTGACATATCAGAGTGTGGGGTTCACTTTAAAGTTACATTCAAATCAGAAATCTGGGTGTGTAAGAAATAGCTTTCTGGTCTGGATTATACTGTAGACTTTGATCTTAAGCACACTCAATTGGAAACCTGCTCCAGGGAAATCAGTGTGTGTTAGTTCAAAGTAAATATACTTAATATTAAGATGCCATGCACCTTCATAGACTTAGTATTCGATAGTGGTGTACAAAGGCTCAGACAGTCTTCCTCAAACTGGTGTCTTCCAGATGTTTTGGGCTACAACTTCCAGCATTCCTGGGTCTTGGTCATGCTGGCTGGAGCTGATGCAAGTTGAATTGAACAATATCTGGAGTAATTTGTAAGCATAGGGGCATGAGAAAAGCTATGCTGGATCAAACCAAAGGTCCATCTAGTCCAGCACTCTATGCACACATTGGCAAACCAGCTATCCACAGGATCCTTCAAGCAGGATGGGTACAAGGCCTCCTACCCAAGCTCCTCAGAAATTGGTGTTTGCAGGCATGCCACATCTGGTAAAGGAGGCAGCACGTAGCCAGCAAGTCTAGTAGCCTCTGATAGCCCCCTCCCTCATGAATCTGTCCAATCCCTTTTTAAAGCCATTCAGATTGGCAGCCATCACCTCTTCCTGTGGCAGTGAATTCCACAGTTTAACTACATGCTGTGCGGAGAAGTACTTCCTTTTCTCTGTCCTAAACCTCCCACCAATCAAGCTTTATGGGAAAACTCCATGTTGGAGTGTTATATATAAGAAGAGGGAGAAAAACGTCTCTTCTCCACACCACACATTATTTTAAACACCTCTAATATGTCTCCCCTTAATCTCCTTTTTTTCTAAGCTGAACAGTCCCAATTATTGTAGCTGTTCCTCATAGGGGAGCTGCTCCAGCCACCTGATCATTTTTGTTGCACTTCTCTGTACTTTTCCCCTACTCAATAATGTCCTTTTTCAGGTAAGGCAACCAGAACTGAACACAATATTCTACATGCAGTCACAGCAAAGATTTGTATAAGAGAGGGAAGATTTTGGCAGTTCTATTTTCTGTTCCATTCCTAAATATGCCTATCATGGAGTTTGTCTCTGTCACAGCAGCTGAGCACTGCGCTGAAACTTTCATCAAGCTGTCCAGCACAATCCCAGGAGCCCTTTCTTGTTCAATCACTGCTAGTTCAGATCCCATCCGTGTATACCTGAATTTGTGATTTTTTGCTCCAACATGCATTACTCCACACTTGCCTATATTGAACTGCATTTGCTGTTTTCGTGTCCATTCTTCCAGCTTGGAGAGATCCCTTTGGAGTTCCTCACCACGTCTTGTTGGTTTTACCATCCTAAAAAGTTTGGTGTCATCACTTCACTATCCTCTCCTAATTCCATGAACTTGCCTCCCTACACATGCAAATTATTAGAAATGTGCCAGTAGCCCAATTGTCTGCATGGCTACTCAGAACTAAGGCCCGTTGTCTTCAATGGGATTTTCTTCCACAGAGTGTATATAAGATTGAAGCTTTGAAAGCATTTCATTTTGCAAATGCCACGTGGCTTACTGAATGCCGGGGTCCCAGTGGCAGCAGAGTAGCAGGGGAGGTTGGTAGCTCCTGTATCACTGGCAATCCCCACCCAGTGCAACTTAGATTGGTGCTCCATTGGAGCTATGAATGATACTGAACCACCACCACTACCCCAAAATAGGATTGACACCATGCAGTACCATGGACAGCTCTATAAAGCTCAGAATAAAAGCTGCAATGGATAATGCATTTGTCACCAGCCTCCTCTGCAGAGTAGTGTCGCCCCAAAGTCTGAACATGGTGGGGATATGATTTCCTCTATTTCTGTTCTCTTCCTGTTTTGGAAGCTTAGACACCCCAAAGGGGAATAGGAGTATTTATGGTAGCTATCTTTGAAAAGCTCAATTTATTATTTACTTTATATAATAACAAGTGTCTATGTATTAATAGACAAGTTTATCCTCTCCATTTCCACATTAGGTACCTAGGGCATATATGCAAAATGATAGCTTCAAAAAGGGATTCAACATATTTATGAAAAACAATATTATCAATGGCTGATATTCATAAGATTGTTGACAACTGATTGAAATCTAGAGGACAAGCCTGATCATCAAGCCAGAACTGATCTTCCTTTGAGCATTTACATTTCAGTCCAACTTTCACACGCTAAACGAAGATGGGAAATTGCCCCATACCAAGTCTCTTGTCCCAGGAGTACCAACTATGTCTGTACCAAGCCGTCAGACCAAGATCCTCGAATATGCCACACATGCACTCTCACATGGAACTGTGGACCATTCAGCAAGCATGTGGATATGTTTACCTTTCCATCTCTGAAAGTTTTCATTCTCCAAGTAACAGTCATGCAGCTGAAGCCCCTTCAGAAAGTTGTGATACTGGGCAACAGAAAGGCGATCTGTCAAGAGCCCTCTAAATTTATTGGCAAGTGTTCCAGCTGGGACAAACATGTGGCTCTTTATTTCATATGGCTTTGTGGGTAGATGAGGGTCTTCATCTGCAACAGGGCACAAAAGGTGTCATAAGCATTGGCCCCCAGCATCTGAACAGGCATTAATATGGGCATAGTTCAGTGCTGGCTAAGCAAGGATTTATACAATCAAGGTTTTGTTTTGTTTTTTCCAGCAAGACAAGGGCTGAATCATTTATAAGACTGAGAAGTACATGTACACCTACCATAAGATCACTGTAAAAGCCACACTTAAGCATCCTTAACTTGGAAGTAAGCTTAACTGATTTCAATGAAATTTGCTGCCAAGTTCCTAGTTTAGCTTCACAGATTCTACAATTCATTATGGGTATGCATGCATGTATGAATATATTATATATAGTCTGTGAGCATCCTCAGATGTTACAGTTTTAATCTAGATTCAGCTGTTAAGCAGTTCTGAAACAGTGTCAGCCTTTTAAAAGCTGTCCACCTATTTGTGCATTTGTTATGTTTATATCCCACCTTGTCTTCCAAGCAACTGAAGGTGGCATACTTGAACCTATTCCTTCATGTTTTATCACAACAACTCTGTGATGTAAGTTAGGCTGACAGTCAGTGACTGGCCCAAAGTCACCTAGCGAGCTTCATAACCAAATGCATCTAGAACCTGGATCTCCTGAGTCCCAATCCAACACAGCTATGCTACACTTGCTCTCCTTTATTCCACACTGTATTGCTCCTTCAAGATTTTGTCAAATTGTCCTTCAGCTAAGGTGGGAAGTACTATGCTTGCCTGAGATGAATCAAAAGGGAAAGATATTATTTCTTGTAAGTTCAGGCAAAACCTCTTGGCGTGAAGCTCATGGGAGTGTGCATTAGGTTTGGCACGCTACTAGTCAATCCATTTACAAATTTCGTGTGGTGGCCCAAACTATGAACTATGAGCACTAAAAATGATTGGGAAGAGTTATACTAGTTGGACAACAAAGGGTGCTGTGGCACCTTAGAAATTGGCCCTCAGTGACAATGTTTTAAGCCCTATCAGTTAACAGTGACAGAATCAGGTAATCACGGAACACCTTCAATTATTTAAATAAATAACAATTAATAGTAGAGAAATGAACAAAGCATGCACTCACCAAGATCAATTAACTTGTCATGTGTCCATCTGTGCCAAAATTCCTCTGAATTATTAACACTGTTCCAGATATACAGCAAATTCAGAGAAAAGATGCTGCTCCACATACCTGTAGAAGCGGGGGACAAAGAGAGGGAGTTCATGAGGCACAAATAGACCTGGAAGCAAATTATTTAGAAACTTGCTTTCAGTTTGCCCAGTTCTCCACCATGATAGCAAGAATATAATAAATTTACTTCCAACATGTCTTAATCTGTGTTCTCAGTCCCTGAATGGATATGCATCACAATGTAAACTGCTGCCACACACGTGCACACACATACACAGCTTTCTGTTTTCTGAAATCTACATCACAAAATGTTGAAGCAGATATACAAAGATCTGCACAGTTTGCCATCACTCCCTTTATGAAGCTGCCTGTGGGCTACAGTTTTGAGAGATGCAAAGGATTTGATGCTAGATCCAGGTTGGCTTGCAAGGAGATTTTATTGTCGCAACAGGAAAATTACTAGCTAGCATTCTAGAGGGTTTAGCAGCAAGTCACTTATAATGCTCAGTGTGAAGTAGAAATAACTGGAATGGATGGTCAGTGAGTGTTGGTGTCCAAACAATACACAAAGCAAAATGGTCAGCTTATATAGGTCAGCCATGAGAAAGGGGATGGCTGTTCCACACATGCTGTGACCTAAGCAATGTGAAACTATTTGTTTCCTTCATTAACAAGCTGAAATAGATACCATACTCTGCTTTCCATAATTGTACTCTATAACACATGGAGTTTTCCATCTTTGATAGCCTGTCACAAGACATAACAGTGGAGGTTTCCCATCCTGGGCAGCCCAAATATTCCCACTCCATGTGCCAGAATGGTAGGATGTATTAAGCTTACTAAGCTGAGCATACTAAATGTAAGCTTGTTAACTGGCCCAATAAGGTAGGATCTCAGGCAGAACAGAGCTGTGTGTTTGTCTTTTCTCCATCTCTCTAGGGCCGGCAAGCATTAACTAAAATTAAGATAAAGAAGGTAATTATAGGGTAGCAGTGCACTAATGCTAAGCAAGGCCTTAGACGCAGAGATTTTACTGAACATGCCCAATACACAGACCCATCTATAGAAAAGACATGCAGCATGCAAAACACACAGGATTGCTTATCAAGACATATTCATCCATCCAGTGTGATGCTGAATATTTTATTTGGCAAACAACTTTAAGGAACATGATCATGCAATTGTTTCAGGCTCCGTTGTGTGCACAAGTCCTGTCAAACTTTAGGTGTGCTCATGAAAGACTTCCTGTGCTGGTTGTGCTGACAATTCAGATTCTAATTCTGAGTATGAGACTGTTTTTGAAATGCCTCAGACTCCAGCTGTGGCTCAAGGTCTAACAGGGGGAAACAGTGGGGAAATTAGTATAAGAGCAGGTGGGGAGACCAGTCAACCTGACCATGGGAATGTTGAGGAATTGAAACACTTAAGTGGGAAGTCTCTCCAATAGAGAACTCCCACTGGCTGAAGAGGTAGACCCATTCGCTCACCATCAACACTGGAGGGAAGCCCAGTAGTGGTACACTGGGATGAGGGGAAGGGTGCCTATTTTCACAGCACCTCCCTCCAGAGTTGTGTCTCAGAAGGGCTCATAAAGAGAGTATTGGGAAATGAATGGTAGAAGGGGTTCAACATTTCACTTTGTGCTCAGAGACTAATATGTAACAATAAAGATCATTAAGCAAAGGAACACTGGTGAGACTGATACTTCAGAGAAACACTGATCATGACAGCCACCAATACAATATCCTGTGGCTGGGGGTCACAGTATATAGCTTGACTGCAGCATGACACTTAAAGTGTCTGAAATAAAAGCAATCATTTACTACATACACCAGAAGGATGAATTAATACCTGCTCCAAGACCAAGAAAAATATTCATATAATGTAAGTATAGTTCAAGGGGTAGTTAGGATGTGGTCCTTTTTTTCTGAATGCTAGAAAAATAGAACAGTAACTACTTCTGCTAATGAAGTTCTTATCATAGTGCTATGACTTTCCCTGTAAATTAAGGCATCTCAACTTGGGTTCTGAGAACTTGAGAAACTGCTGTGGGCACCACTACAAGAGGCTCCCATGGAAGAGGTGGCTACATAACTGTGGGGACCTAGCTAGTTGTAAATGAAGCAGAGTGGGGTTAGTGAGCTTAGTGGCTAGAAGAGGGGGAAATAACAAGGCAAAGAGAGAGGGGAGAGCAAGAGCAAAGCTAGAGGCTGGAAAGGAAAAGAAAGACAACTGCTCCAACATCTCCCAAGGTTATTCTTTTTCTTCTTTTAGGTAGCAAGGAGGGAAGAACTTCATGGGTGCCCTGGAGCCCACAGTTGCTGCACTGGGAACCAATACCCTCCAAAATTCAATACATTACCATGAAGGTAGCATATCTGGCTTTCTGGAAGCTTCTTTATCAGGTGGCCCATGAAGAATTCACTTCCAAAGTTCTCTGGATGTATAAATGCTCCATATTTCAGGAATCCCACCTCATAGGGAGTAAATTCTAGCCATTCTATAGAGAACAAGTAAATTATGATGACCAAGACATGAGATTCTGTCATTTAAATATTGTAGGTTCCCAACCCAGAATTAATTTCTTTGAAGATAAATATCAGATAGATGAGCTGCTTTATATTATTTTCTCTTACCTCTGAAGTCATTAGTGCTGTACTTTTCTCTGGTGTTGATAGCCAGATAGACAGGCAACGGGTTCTGACCATACATCAAAGCTTCCCTCTCATCTGACAGTCTGTGATTATTTTTCTAATTTTGAACAAAAAAAAAATGTTATATGCAAAGCCATGGAATAGGCTCATAAAATAACACAAGCTAGGAAATAACCTCAGTGTTTAAACTTGAACATGAGTGAATAAATAGGAAGCTGAAATGAGCTACAGCTCTGATATTCATGCTAAGGGATCACATGAATAAGTTTGAGATTATTGAAACATGTACACAAATGAAACATGGATTTATTTGTGTATTATCCTTCATTCTGTAGCAGTACTTTCCAGAGGTCACTAAAGCCTATTTGCATGATATACCTGGGCTATAACTATAGGGACCATTTCTGCTTACTCCCTATCTGGATCTCAATGCAGTTTAAATCAGCTTTTCCAACCTAGTACCTTCAAATGTGTTGGACCAGACAGCATCCCAGTCACCATGGCTGATCTTAAGGAGGTCAAAGATGGTGTAGGATAAGTGGGTACAATCCTTCATATTCACAGACATGACAGACAGGAATTCAACGGTGGGAAATAAGGAGTGGAGCGATACGTAAGGTTCACAACTGATGATTAGCAGGGAACTTGGTGCACAAACTTGAACCTTGTTTTGTTTTTCTGGTGTTTCTAGTACTGGCTACTCACTGCTGAATTCTCATCTGATGTATACATAGAGATGCATCACTCATATTTGAGCTTAATTAATCTAATTGATTGCAATAGAGTTTCCTGGTGGCCTTACATGAAAGGCAATTCCCTTCCAGTGACAACATGTTTATCAAGCATGCATCTGCAGCTCTTCAGGACAAAAAGAAAGGTTTGATACTGTACCCCATCATTTAACAAATACTCTAGGATGAGTCCCCAGAGATCTATAAAAGTTGTCTTGTGTCCTTCTTGTTTCCGTTGATTAAGCTGTTGTTGGTAATATTTGACACGATTTATGGAAAGCATCTCCATCTTATTTTTGGTCACTTGTTTCCTTGCCTCATTTATTTTCTCACTCAGATCCTTCTGTGACCAATAAGCATCTCTATATATTTGTGACATGGCCCTAAAAACAAAGTATAAAACGAAAGGGTGAGCATGCAACTGGCGACATGGAAGCCAGTGCTGAAATTGCTGATCCAGACACAAGAGTGATCCATGTATGATGCCCTCATGTTTTGTCCTCATGTATGATGCCCTCATAGTGTTCCCTCACACACATTTGCAATGGGGTTGTGTCATTACCATCACTGGCATCATATTGCATCGATATCCTGCCTTTTTTCCTCTTGCAAGGGACACAATACAGTTTGCAACAGCTCTGCTGTACCCTCACAGCAACAAGAACCCTGTGAGGCAGGTTATGCTTAGAGTGGGTGACTGGACCCAAATTACCCAGTAAGCTTTATGGCTGAGTGGGGACTAGAACCTGGATTTCTTGGGTCCCTGTGCAACACTCCAAGCACTATACCACACTGGTATGTACCATGCATTGTATGAAAAATATGTCTGTTTGTCTATCCAGAATCTCTTACCATTGCTGATGGTTTCGTTGCTCTTCTAGCTCTACCTTTTTTATTGGTGAGCAGAAGTATATACAATATTCCATGTGTGATCACACCATAAATTTGCAGAAAGGCATTGTGAAATTGGCAGAAATTGTCAGCATGCCACCACTTCATGCAAGATTTCAGAAAGATTTCACATTGAATGTCACTTACCATGTAGTGCCAGACAAACCAGATATGTAAGTTATGCAGTCCAGGAGATTTAATCTTTGGAGACCGCTCATACAGCCATATGTTGTTGTAAATGATCTTGTCCCACCTCCAGTTGTTACAACTGCCACCACTGGAACCTGGAAAACACACAGGCACAAGAGATGCATGCATCGCCCATTATGGCCATTGCTATCAAGTGAAAAACAAACTAGGAGACAACAAATATAGATGCTTCTGTTGCAGGATGGAAAATTTTGGACACATTTAGATTGAATGATGTTAAAGTGCAGTTGTTGCTTATTCAAAAGTGCCATGGTAATGGTATACCATACCTTCTGCATATGTGATTAAAACCAAAAACACTTTGCAATAGAGAATGTGCCCAAGGCTGAAGAGCTGAAAGGTGTCAGAATTCATGAAATTAATTACCTTTCGCATGTAGTCAACCACTGTACACACACCCACACACGTCAGTTGTGTAACGAAACATAACAGTCACCGCCTGCAGTAAGCACTCAGTGCATGACCACACAACTTATCTAAGCCGAGCAGTGCCATCACAACCAGCACAGTCGAAGTACGCATGGATCGGATTTGACACACAAGCAGCCTGCATGCACAACCTGCTACGCTCAACAGGGCGATTCAAATCCACATGGACCAAACAACAAATTTTCAAAAGTTACTTTTAAAACTTGGAAAATCTGTCAAAAGATGTGCCGGAACTCCGTTCCAGTGCATTCTATGACAAAAAAAGCACTGCATATACTAATTTATATATGCACATGTAGAAAAAAATTACTGGGATTGATTAACATTTTTTAGTAGGCAAAGGTGGCCAACTGATTTCTCAGGCAAATTATCTCAAATCAGTTTGCACCTGTCCCAGTGGTTTCCCAAATCAATAATTATTTTGCAATAGTAAATAATTCACCCTGTCAGTTATAAACAACTGCTGTACTCAGAGAAAGTTTGACAGAGAATTAGAGTGGGGTGGATCTACTATTTGGGCCATTTCCTTATAGGAAATGGAATAAATCCACCTTTAGACTTTTCAGATACTCAACAGTTGGCACTGCATGTCACATACCTCATGTTCCTGCAGGTCATAATCTAGCTGGAGAACCTGCTTCAGAGCATGAGCAACTCGACACTTTCGTTTGCACAGGAACTCTTGCTCCTGTGGGCACAGACCATACCCCAAGCGCACGTCTAGATCTTCTGGGCAGGAGCAGTGACTGCCAGAAACACAGAGATCATATGTTATCTCAATCTATGAGCAATCACAGAATTTTATCAAGTGGAAATGCAGCAAGAGGGAAGCAAGCAAGAATGTGGAAATGCATTCAGTATGAATGGTAACCTCCCGCCCTCACACGCTCTCATTAAGAATACTTGTTTGGGCATAAGTCCAATAGATGTGTGAAAATTATTCCTGTTTTAACATATCTCCAAGAGACATGAGAACTCTACTCAGTTCTGTTCTGAGCTAAGGACGCGTTGCACTCCAGTAAATTAACTTTAAGTTTTGATAACTTGTTTTAACCCATAGTAACTTAACTATTAACTAGTTAAATGTTAAAATACTACAGATTTAGAAAGGGTTAGAATGGGATGAAGATGCTTTTGTGTCAGTGGAGAGGAGCTCCACCAGCAGAGGGGCTGTCACCACCCTAGTTCTGCTCATGGCATTTTCTACCTCCAATATAACTGATGATTTTTGCCATCAGTCTGAACAAAATAGGAAACATGACCAAATGGCAAAAACATGCTTGAAAATGGTTGAAAATGGTTTCTACTCAATTTGAATAATTGCACCTAATGGCATCGATGTTAATACATAGCTACCCTTGCCTTAAGGAGATCTGTGAAAGCCTTTCTTGGAGCTTCGGATTCGGATGGTTGGAACAAAAAAGGGGGCATTTTTGGTGATTCCTAGCCCTAGTTTTGGCATGTTTTCTCTAGGAAGCCCCCTGCCTTCTGTCCACATTGCTCTCTTTTCAATGCCAGGATAAGGCACTTCTGCTGTCTCAATAATTTTAAGTGTGTAGAATTTTTAGGGTGTAATCCTATGGTCCCCAGACATTGTGTGTGGCTATGGGATACTGACAGTTTTCACCCCTAATATAACAGCCAGAGCAATGATTTCAGAGTGAAAATCCTGACCATGCTGAGATCTTCAACCCTGCATCACTCCCAAACCTTGCAGAAAGCTCTGCAGCAGCTCCTCTTCTGTGGTCAGTTTCATGACCTTGGACAGGGAAGGGAAAAGGGGAAGCAAGTATGGAGGAAGAGAAGCCAGGTTATGCTCTGTCCTGTGACCTCTCTTGCCCCAAGCAGTGCGACTCTGTTGGATGGATTCAAGGCCCATCTACTGGAAAATATATGATGCAGAAGGATGCATTACATTGTGTGGGGTTTTATCGATCTTTTCTTTTTTGTTGTATTATTGTTGCTTTTAACTTAACTTTAAAACACCTAGATAATTTTACAAGGCATTTAATAAAATGAATGAATAGATAGATAGATAGATGGTTGGACTTTAAAAACAGACTAGGCTTGCAATCCTAGTTACACATACTTACCCAGGAGTATGTGACTTTGAACTCAGTGGGGGCTCCTTCTGAGCAGGTTTCAGGCCCAGTGTCAAGATTCAGCAAGGGTGGACAGCAGCTAAGGGCCCAGCAACTCAGAAGGGCCAATCTCTGCCTGAGCCTGCTGCAAAAGCATCAGCCTTCCCCATTGTCCTTGCTTGTCAATCCAACCAGCTGGATCCTCAGGCACCTTGCTGCCCCATTCTAAACTATTCTTTTTACTTACATTTGGAGTAGTAGTAACCTTAAACCAATTCAAGGTTGGCTTTGGAAGGACAGGACAGCCAGTGAAGGCTGTGATCTCTTCAAAAATCCTCATTGGCTGAACCCCCCTCCCCCAGGCATCTGTTTAGTTCCAGTAACTCTACTTGAAATGCAAGCTATGAATTGGGAGACCTGCAGGTTTTGAGGGTCAGGTCCTGCAGTGCTTTGCCAGTGGGTGAGGTGAAGGAAAAGGAGGAGTCTTTCCACTCCCTGCCAGCTCCAGGTGAAAAACACTCTGAGGAAGTGCTGGCTTGCTGGCGAGAGTGTAGGTGACTTGAGGGGATGGCACAGAGGTGGTGGGCTTGGGAAATCAGTGGCCTGAGTAGGTGGCAGGCAGTCAGGGGTCAGTTGGGCCTTTGGTGGCAGAGACAGGCAGGAGGATTCACAGCAAACATGGGTGGCAGCAAGGGACCATCACCAGCAATGTGCCAGTAATCCCAGACACTGGCACCAACCTTGGTAGGTGTATATAGATTTGCACTATAAGATTATGTTTCAGTATATAATGCATTATATTACCTGGAATCTCTGAGATTCATGAGCTACTACATTCATTTAATTCATGAGCTACTTTGAGACAACTGTTAAAGAGCAAATGTGGCATTAAAATACCCTGTCCAGAATCATGTGGCACTCACCAGCTACAAGAAAGATTAAATATTAAAATATCTTACCAATCATCCACTTTCACATGCAAATTATACTTTTTTTCCTAAAAGGGGGGACATAAGAATCATACAGAGCAATCAGTATGTGACATCATTCCCCCCATTCAGAGTTAAGGGTGATCATCCCTGGATTTCTAAACACCTTTCCATTACATACAGCAGAGGTCCCCAGTGCAGCAACACTGGGCCCCTCTAATTGCACCCAAGTAGGACTGGTAGTAATTGGCACAATTTGTGAGTCTGGGGGACCAGACATTCTATGGGAACATACACCCAGAAGGTTATTTTCATGTTAATGGCCTAGAAGACAGGGTGAGCAGAGACCTGAGGAACATGTTGCTACCATTTATTTATTTATTTAGAATATTTATATGCCGCCCTTTCACAGAGCCTCAGGACAGCTTACATAAATAAATAAAAATAGTAATAAAAACATAATACAAATAAATACCGAATACTAGAGGAATACCGAACCAATAAAGTATCGCCTAGAATCTGCAAGTTCTTGGGGACCAAGCAAGATAATCTTAAGTTCCAGAGCCACCAAATGCATATCTTTAACCATCATCATAAAACTGTCATGTGGACAATATCTTATGATTCTTCTTCCTCAGTAGAATTCTTACTGATTCTTACTTTCAATATGTTGTGAAAAGCTGAAGAATGGCACTCACCTTCACTATTGGCACTTTCTCCCCTCTGGGCAGTGAATTCAACATCACAGGTGGAACATCTTTCTTGGTGCTACGTGAGCAGGTTCTCTAAGGCAGAGAAGACATTATAAGCCCTTTGAGCTGAAAAGCTGAAAAAGGTTGCCCTGATCATTATGTAAAGAAACTTACATTGGTATTTTGATTATGACAGCAGCATACAGGATTGCATCGTGATTTTTTCTTTGGTAGTGTAACAGCCAATGTTGACTCCTTGTACTTGACATAGTGGAAGGTTTTGGGACATGGAGGTGTCACAATAGCATCAGAACCCAGCTTAAAACAATACGAGCCTTCACAGGATCCTTTTACTGAAAGCGAAAGGTCTTTCTCTAAACACAGAAGGCAGAGAAGGTTGAGAAGCATCAGCAAGTTATCTCTTTTCAGAGGAAGCAATCAACGGGGAAACCCACAGGGCATCCATTTCACAGAGACTTATTATGGCCTTTCATTCCTAGAACATATATTGATTTCTTTATACTAAATGTGTCCTGCCTCAAAACTTAAATTTCTCTGTTTGTTTATGTTCTATTTCAATAAATCATTAAACTTATTATTATGCAATCCCAAATTTAAAATAGTAGGCAGGTGAGCAACAAAAATAAAAATAAAAAGAAAAATGAACGTTAATTATGATGGCCACCACTGTTCAGTTAGTACATAATCCTAGAGCCCCTTGGCACTCTCTATTTATTTATAAAATATGTATGCCGTCCATTACTTCCGTCTCTGGACAGCTTACAACATTAATCAGAATAAAATAAATTAACTATGGGCATAGAAAAGGTCAGAATTCCAGCGCCAACCTTAGAGCACTTGTCCAAGGTTGGAGCTGGAGCTCTGATTTAGAACATTTCCCTCCACCTTCACAGCAGACTTGGTTCTTTCTGCATCTCTGGCAGCTCTGAAGTCAATTATGAATAGTAAATGGTCTCATGCAAACTTACTTGACTTATGTCGCTTCCTCTGATTTATCTCAGCTTCCAATGTGCAAACTTCACGACACTGTAAAAATAAGCAGCAAGAAAATCTACAGATTACTCCTGGATATGTATATTTTTGCTAGATTGCATTCAACTAGCTGACCTACCTATAAATATGGGATTCAATGGCACGGCCCAAGAAGATTTTGAATGCAATGACACTTTCAGCAAAAAAATAAGTTGGACTAACAACTCCATTTCCTAAGTTAAACTAGTGCTGACTTGGATCCAACATTGTGCAAGTGCACTTTCACTGGTGCAACAGTGCTTCTCTGTCCCATCCTTCCTTGCATGCAGTGTATGAGCTCTAAATCAGATCTGAGGGTCCCTCAACACTCTGTAGCAACTTTGGAGGGCATACCGGGGACTGCCCTGAGAAGCAAAAATCCATTCCACTTGCAGTTTCCATGCTGTTAGCTGGTAGATAACTCAGCACTGGATCCAACCCATTTTTACTATTGATAGACTCTAGAAATATAGAATAAAATTACCACTAAAACTCCATTAGTAAGTATGGTTTCAGGAGGGCCTGACCTGGAAAACAAGATATAAGTTCGGTCATACTTCTAAACAGTAAAATATTACTCCTGCGAGACAAGATTGAGTTTATTTTCACCATGATCCTACAAAAGGGGATTTTAAATAAAATGCAAGCTTAGTATTGGATCTAAATACCCTGGGTTTATTACACCTCCTTAGTTTTAGCTTCAAGAAATGTGGCGATGATTCTTACAAATGAGGAACAATACGGGAGTTGCTTCCCCGTGCAAAGACCACACAAGAGAGACAAGATTCATCGCATAGGAGAACCTTGCTGCTGCTCTCTGAACAGACCTCTGACACCGATGTGGATATTCTCACATGGATACTGCCCTTATCTTGTGACTCTACAGTGTTGCAGTAGGGGGGATAGAGCTCCAAAAAGGCTGTGACCACACTCCTCCCTTTTTGTCTATGGCTAAGACCGCTGCCTTAAATTCTACTCCCTGCCTATGAGTAGAATAGGCAGGGAGTAGTTCCACATATGTTAAGACAATGATGCCAACTACTTAATAACAACAATTAACAGCATTGCATTACACCGCGTTACATTGGGAGTTTGCTTGCATCTCTGCATGGAAGGTAGATACACTCCAATTACATTTCTCTGCATCTCTGAAGTCTAGAAATGTATTTCTTAATACATTTGGCAATCTTCAAATGGTAGTCTTCAAATGGCAGTCTTCAAGAGTTTTCAAACATTTTCCTCAGACTTTATTCCTGCAAAAATTACCTTTCACCAGTCAAGTGAATGGTCCTGACCACCTCTTTTGGAGAAAGAAGTTTATTTTAAATGAGTAATCAGCACCAGCTATTTCACTATTGCAGGTGCGCTGGAGGCATATGATAGCCACTGCTGGCTCCAGGTTTTTGATGGCCCTTCAGCAAGATGCACTCAGTAAGTCTACTGTCTTACCACCATGGCCACCAGCTGTTATTTCTCATCAACATCTTTCTCAGCATTGCTACCCCTTGCAGGCAGAAAGCAAGTAAGAAAGTGGGCATATACTTGTCACCAGCATCCTTGTGTGGGCCAAAGGGAGAAACAGGAGACTATGAAGAAGAAAGAGCCCAGAAGTGCCTTTTCAGTGCTGTCGTATGTGCCACCAGTGGGTGCCTAACTCTTGCTTCCCAGCACTTTCTGAGTAGGGCTGGCACTAGAGAGGGAATATGGTCAAGCAAATGCTAAATTGTGTTCAGCAAATTTTTATTTCTCAAATTAGCTTTTTCCAACATTCTCAGGAGGTGCCACCCCAATTTTCTTCTGTCATAGAACTCAAGGACATGTGTGCAGTCTCTCATTCAGGTAAGAATCAGACCCAAGCCTGCTTGACTTTATCAAAGTATCTATACAATGTGTTTTCTAATTAACATGCAGCATTTCTGACTTAACCTTTATCAACCAGGTTTAAGATATTGGAACTTTTTAAAGCATCCATCAAAATACAATGAATATTGGTAAAATTGAAACTGCCATTGAAAAACAGCATTTTGATTATAAATTTAGGAGTGTAGATACTGTCTGAATTCTTTCCAGGTTTTTGTCTTCCAGCATTTTATTGCCCTAATGGAATTTATTTGTATTTGAAGGAAATAATTCCTATTACTGAATTACCACAGCCATCATTTTACATCTGAAAAAATAGATTTATTTGAAGAATATATTTACCATTTATTCATTTACAGTGTCAGAACTCTATAGTACAAATAAAGAATTTAAAACACTTACGCAGGTTCCACTATAAATTCAACTTCCAGCTCTTCTTGTGCCTACCCCCAACAAAACAAAACAATCCCCCCACAAAAAAATTAAATGGGCACATAATTTCCTTTTCCTCTGAAATAATATTAATAAAATAGCATCACTGTATAAAGTTGTTAGAGGACATATAATACTCCAGGCAAAAGATGTTTTTGCCAGCTACTGTAAAAACCTCTCCAGAAAATTTATAGCAATAATTAAATGATTATTAATAATTAAGCAACATTATTTACTATCCAGTCCAACATATCTTTCACCAGCCAGCACACATTTGACAGTTTTACTGCTAACCTGTTAAGAGCAACATAGAATGAAAGGGTGTTATGGCACTTTTCCAATGATCACACCCAGTTTTGGCTATATTTTGCAAGTGGAAAAAAGCCACCAATTTTTCCATGTTCAAGTTCCAATAAGAAACTGGATCCTAAGCTCCCTGACTGAGTAGATACTTCCATTGGCGGAAGCAAGGATGCCATTCTTGCCAATACCTATTCCCAGTCCAGCTCTATCCCATCCTAGGTTTACAAAACCTAATGGAACACTAATAATATTCAGAGGTGGATTCAAGTGTGTATAACTAACTGTCAGCCATTTCCATCTTTATAGAAAGCAATGAACAAGGAAAAGATGTTTCAATTCAGCAGCTGGAAATTATGAATTCACCACATAGGCTGTGTCATATGTGGGTAAGACAGCAAAAGGGCAAGTGACTCCTTCAATTGGACTTATTTTAGAAAAAATATTAAAGCAAACCCTTTAATATGACATACAGCATCATTTCTCTTCCAGAAACATATTATTTAGGACAGTGTTCCCCCAGATCTCAAATATGTGAATTACTTTTTCTGTGTCTAGACTAGCAGAGCATTAGTTATTTTATTTTATAGATAATGCATGAACTGTAATTACAGTATATTCACCATTTGCTACATATCTAGCATTGTATTCTATAAAGAGAGTGAGAGCACAAGCAAGAGGGAACATGTAATTGATTTTGAATTATTCAGGCCCACAAGTGGCTTACTAAACCCATGGTGGGCCATCATTCATAGCCTGTACTCAGCTTGTTAGATAGTTTTACAGGCTTAAAGTTCAGTGTGGTGCACTTACAAGCTGTCAAAGGTTGCAGTTCTATGCATGTTTCACCACAGCAAAACTCTACAGTTCTCATTTATGATTATGATTGTTAAGCCTTCCTTCCATCTAAACATGCACAGGCTTGCACCAAAAGTGTCATATTTCAGTTCCCACCTTTGGATCACATTTAAAATGCATGAGAACTCTTTCTCCAACCGGAAGCCGAGATATGTCAAAGCGTATAGTGAAAAGGAGGTCATCCGGAGTGATGGCATCTTCGTCATAGACAGACAGCTCTAACATATTCTGTGAGAAAGAAGCCATGTATCAGATGTCTGATAAAAACAGGAAAATTCTCTTCAAATCCTTTGCTCTAATTTTCCTTGTGGAAAGGCTAATAAGAATAACAACAGTGTGGAACTTTTTGGTTAGGAAGATTAATTACATGTACAGGATATGAATGTAACCACTGACTCTTTCGGTGGTGTTCCTTTTCATGTGATAACACCCATATTTAGTAGAAGTGGACAACTAAGAAAACTGAAGCTCATTCATCAAGGTTCTTTAATATTCACCTGGAAATTCACACTGTCAGCTTTGGTGAAGGGAGGGACAATCACATAACATTTCACACACATTTCCCTGCTCATTTGTATAAATAGATGCACCTTGCATCAGTTTCTCCTATTGACTAAAATGCATTTTTGTTTCCTGCATTGCATTGCAAGCTAGAGGCTTCAGACCACAGAATGTATTCAAATCCATAGGTCAGTTCCAGGAAGTGCGAACTGGAAAAATTCTGAACAATTTGAAGCTATTTTTTCATGCACCCCGAATACATAGTTGGGCAGAGTCTTTGCTCATGATTAGCTCTGCAATTGAATTCTCCCCCTAGAGAAGTATGCATGAAATCCCCAGTATATCCTGTTGAGTGGCCTTGTTTGTTTTTTAGTTTGTTTGCTTGACTATTTTGCCCAACATTGCACTGATTTCTGCTATGTCCTTGTGTGCTAACAGTTGCTTTGCTTTGGTGCAATCATTTTTGCTTTCAAACTATTATATGCCTCCTGAAAGGTATACAATTGAAAACTTTAAAAAAAGTGTGTATCAATGTAGTTTGCTACAAATGCCACTCTCACATAGACATATACATGTAGTTTTGGACTGCCTTTGTTGAAGCTTATGTATAATGGATAGATCTGAATTTATGCTATTGTACTGATGTTTAGATGCATACATGCATTAATTGCAGGGGGGTTAATTTAGATTTTGTTTTAGTGACATTCACAATTAAAAAACTGGTGTAAAAAGCTTGGTGCTACTATACTATGGAGATAATGCTATCAAAAAAAAATTCTTCTCAATTTGCTTTAAAGTCTGTTGTAAGACCTTTATTTCACAGTAGACCGAATGAGGATATTTTCATTCACTCTAAAATGAACTCTAAAAAGACAAGCTTTGATTGTATTTATTCAGTGTATGTGGACCCCATTGCATTGCAAACTTTTATATGTGGGCAGGGTTCCCCCATCCAGTGAAAGTATGGGGCACTTCTACTCAGGTTGCAATAAATATTTGCGTGTGTGCTTTCTAGCATGTAAGTTATCATGAGTTTGCTAGTTGAAAAACTTTTTATATAGAGTGACATGGCTTTGAAATATGACCCATGTATTTATTATTAGAGTTGTGGCAGTGTAGTTAGTCTGTTTTGCCAAACAAAATGTAGAGCTTTGTGGCATCTATGGTCTAGTGCATTCATTATAGCAGACATTATTATGTGCACCTGCTGAAATCTGCTTTTGTCTATGCAATTTTTGCTGCGATAAATATCTTAAGTTGCCACAATCCTCCCTGATTTTTATTGTTGCAGCTGTCTAGTAGTATTTACTCTCTTCCAAACCCTTTTTTCAACATTTCACCGTGGGAGTTGTAATTTAGAAGCAATTGTGCAATTTTCCCACACTTTGATTGAGGTAAACCAGCAATTTAACTGAAACACCAGGGTTGTATTTAGTGCGTTGTATCTGCTCTTAGTCTAATTGAAGTGCCATCTATTTGAATAGGTCTAGTGTAAGTAGGGCTGACATTGGGTACGGCCTTCCTATTCCAAGTCAAAGCATACTGGATCCAAGTTCACTTAGGCTGCAGTTCTGCACACACTTACCTAACAGTCTGTCCCAGTGGAGACAGTGAGCTTAACTTCTGAGTGGCATAACATGGATGCACTTAGAAACCTACTTTATGCTGTCTTGGTCCATCTAGCTCAGTATTGTCTACAGCAAGGATAGGCAAAGTAATTTATTTATTTATTTAAAACATTTGTATGCTGTCCTTTATGACAATTGTCTCAGGATGGCTTACAGCAAATAAGCCATAATGATCCATGTGCTCCCAAAGACCTTCCTTACTTCCACCAGAACACCCTACATCCCCCAGTTCCTTTTTAAAAATATCTGTATTTTCTTAGTGCCAGCTAGGATTGCCTCAGACCAAAGTGGAAGCCTCTAACAGCTGTCACCTTAATTTCCCAGGATTACATCTGGGCTGATTCTGTGTGTGCCGGTTCTCTCTGTGACAGATGGGAGGACTGGCACACGGATCCCTAGTTCCAAGTGTGAATCCAACCTTAGAGCTCAGTTTCCAAACCAAATCTGGGAATCTGAAGTATCCAGAGGTCCACTAGCTATACAGGATCTCTCTGCACTGAGGGACGGGCTTATCAGATTGCAGAGAGGAGTCTTTGGTGGCTCTACCGAAAGAGGCCAGCAATTCAATCAGAGACCTCTTGCAGGCCAAACAGATGCTCCACCACTGAGCTGCAGCCCTTCATTTCATACAGCAATAGTGTACACAGAAAGGAAAACCAGGGAATATCATGCTTCGCTTCTGCTTATTAATGGGGAGTCAACATAGCTGGATAGTAGAGAAAAGAAGCACTGTTGGAGAGTGCCAATACATTCTGCACTTTTTTACAAAGCCAGTAGAAAAAGATCAATGATGCTGCCAGACAAACAAACTCCACCCATACAGATATCTTAGCATCAGCCAGTGCATGCAACCACAGATAAAGGGACTCAGATATTGGGTAAAGACCATGAGCACAAATGTGTTGTGTTGTGTTGTTTTAGAAGTCAAGTAAGAACAGTCTTGACCACTGGCTGCTGAAAGCAAATATCATCATCATCATCATCATCATCATCATCATCACCATCACCATCACCATCATTTACCTTAACTTGTGTCTGAATCCTATAGTAAAAGGTTTCATTCCAAACAGGGTTCTTGCAATTATTGACAGTTTTGGTCCGCATCTTTTCGCATGTGGCAGTTGGGAGCCAGAGCACCACATAGCAGTCAGACTGGCTTACTGTGGAGAAGATGAACAGCGTAACCAGGGTTGCCAACTTTTGAACCAAACCATGGGCAGCATCCAGTAGGAAATTGTACCTCCACTGATTCCAGTCAGGTCCCATTGATTTTCTTCTGCTTCTGGAATGGAGATTCAGTACTTCTGGAAGCAACTGGCACTGCTCATTTCCGGAAGAAGGCAGGTTAGTGGGGCTTGCATAAGGTAGTACTGCTGATCTGCCCTTATTCAGAAACAAGTATTACTGCTCATTTGGAGCTTCCCATATGAAAACTGAAATCTCCACTGCAAAAGCGAGGTGTCTTCCTTGCACACTGGCATCGGCAAAAGAGGCCCCTTGTGCAAAGGGCCCTTTGGATACTGGCCCGTGTCAGCTTAACCTTTAACAGCACCTAAACCAGGAGCCATTAGGGGGGATCCTATTTAGCTCTGTGTCATTCAAACCATCTCCTCTTGGTTTCTGAATGTAATCAGACCATACATTTCTTTTTCTGGCCAGTCAACCACCTTTGCTATAGATTACAAGGCATATGAAAGTAAACCATGTATAGAACAGGGATGTATTCTAATATCTTTATTTAATATTAATTAGCTTAACTAATTATCTTTTTTCCACATTGCCCTTAATCGGATGTTTTAAAAGTTCCTACTTGGGACTTTGTAGTCACACATCCAGCCACAATCCTTTTTCCAGATAAATGCAACTGAGTGGATTTGTGGGTCAAACTATATATGATGTTAAATCTTAACTGTAAACTTAAAGCAAATTATATTCCCTGGGCAGGCTGATAATTAGCAGAATCAGATCAGGAATGCAAGGGGAATTCTGGAGGCCTGATATGAGCCTGAAGAAAACCCCTGAAGCCAGAATTTGCATTGGGAGGAATTTCCCCCACTGGTGCCAACAGTGACTTTCCTCAATACAAATGCTGCCTTCAGTCAGAGGAGGGGTTTTCCTTGGGGCCCCAGCTGAGGAAGCAAGAATTGACTTCCCCCTCCACACCTGCTTTAATCCCTTTAATTATCACATGCACACCCCCTTCTGATGCAACTTGCATTTTAACAAAGCTACATATTAGATCAGATGCACTTTTGCCTTGAGTGAAAATCAAACTGGGATGAGTAAATTACCAAGCCTGGAGTAATTGCCTGATGCCTCAGAGGAGAGAAATAAGAAGGGCTAGGGTGTTTATACATGCAATGCACTACACCTATACCTCTACCACGGTTTTCTGATGGTGTGGAAAGGTGATTTACATGGAAGCAGTGCCCTCCAGCAAGTTTAGATATTGCTTTCAGCAGCTGAAATAAAGCTGGCCCATCAGTGTTCATCAGAATTCTTCTAGGTTCACTGATTGGAGTCGATTGGAGTCAATTTCATAAAAGGTGGCTCTGAGGCTGTAACAAGTAGGTGGATGACAGAGCTCTTGGATGGTGCCACCCTAACATTACTGCAAAGCCCTTTAAACCGCAGTCACAGAAGGCATGCTCACAAACCCCCATGCTGCGCAACTCCTGCTTCCTGCGACCTGTTTTGATCTGCTAATGGCACCTGTGTCTGATCTCCATGGCAGAAAAAGACTTTTGGGAAAAATGTCTACACCATGCAAACTTTTTCACTGTGCAGATGTTAATTCTTGATTTACAGGATGTGGTATGGAGATGCGTATGTGCTGGTGGATCTAAAAGGTCCTATTCCAGTTCCAGGTCTGATTCTAGAAGTTTTTCTAATGGAAGTTGTGGAAGGAGAACCCAGAGCCAACCTCAGGACAGTAAAGGGGCAGAAGCAGCGAAATCTGCTTGTTCATACAGACTGATATGCAGGTATCCTGGTGGGTTCCTTCGCTAGTGGGGCAGGAAGAGCTGCTGCCATCACTTGCCCCTCTGCTCTCACCCTGTGACTGCAGCAATGCGGGTGGTGAACCCGCAGCTCTTCAGATGATGGCATAGGGAATGTGCTGGGGACTCACTCTTCACCAACTTTCCAAGGCCCTGAAGGGGAGGACACCAAGGAAGAGGCAACTGGGGCAGGAGCCTCTGAAGCTCCTTCAGGGCTCCAGCTGACTGAGAGAGCAGACCTGGTTGGGAAGAGATGCGAGGAGACTCAGGAGAGGATGGAGAGCTGTTGACTTGCCCAGTCCCTGGCCCCCAGGAGAGATGAACTGTCCAGTTAGAGGGCTTGCATGGGTCTTGCCAACTGGCTGTCTACCAGCAGGAGCCACCCAGACGGTGGACCTGCAGTGTGAATAAAAGGAAAGGAATTGTGGTGGGGGATTTTCCAGTTTGGGTTCAACACTCCCTCATTCTTTACGTGAGCAGAGGCTATCATTCAGCTTGCTGGGGGCTTTTAGGGTTGCATTGCCTTGACTCCAACTGTTGCATAGTCTGGCTTCATAATTCAGTTATTCTTTTCCTCCCTTGAAATGTGTTCTATTAAAAATGTGCAGAAATTTTTCTGGGGAATTTTTCAGCAAAGGTCATGGAGCAGGTGGTATTGTTCATTTTTAAAAAATGCCAGTTTCTTCACCCTCTGCATCCCCTACAGACTCTAAAACTGCTCCAAAACAGTGAAAAAGTAGCACTAAGAATTGCAGGGGGAAGGATCACATCCGTCACTTCCTGCTGGCCAGGAGGGGAACTCCATCAGGGAGCAAACTCAGGGTGTAAGCCATAGGATATAGTACAGTGTCAGAATAAGGTCCAGAAATCAGTGAAAAATAGTATAATTATTACACCACACATGAAATTTTCTGACATTAGCCCCTGAAAAATAAATAGAAGATTGAATATACTTAAGAAATTCAATTTTCATGCTATTTCTTCCAGTTATTACCCTGGGGAAAGTTGTAAGTACTAGTAACACACCTCAAAGACCTCTTAATGACACGAAGAGCATATTTGATAGAGTGAGCTTGTGCCATGTTTACTTGCTGTCACAAAAGGCTGCATGTTAGCATCCCTAACCTGAACACTGTTTCTGTCTCCAAAAAACACAAAGTATGTCTGCTGAGGTTTAGCTGTCCTCATGGTTCAGTAGTTCCAGTGTAGATATTTACAGGTGTGAGCAACCTAGAAATAGGCCTTTTTTGTGATTGCAATTCACCTGTGCAACCTGTTCGTACAACCCTCTCTTTATGAATGTATCACATCAGCCCACACACGTGATACTGCGATTTACTGATATATTTTATAGACTGAACATGAATGCTAAAGGAAATGGAGCAATACAGCTTTAAGCTCCATCATCCTGTTCTCAGACACAGGTTTGCATTCTCCTCCATGCAGGGAATACTATATTTTTCATTTGGTTTACATGTTTTGGTACAGCAATTAAGCAAAATACCATCACAGTTAACAAAACTGGTTGCTTTAATTGCCCCTACAGTTTATTGAAATCTAGAATTTGGTAATTTTTATAGCTATAGTAAACTATTTTGAAAGTTCCCTGGCATGGAGGCTGCCCAGAATTACTTTCTTGAGGGCACTGGCCCCATCACAGCTTTCCCCAATGTGGTACTTCCCTGTTTTTGTACTACAACTCCCATAATTCCCAGCAGCACAGCTAATGACCATGCAGGCTTGGAATTATGGAAACTGTATTCCAATGCATCTAGAGGGTACCAGTGTAGGGAAGACTATCCTAGCAAATGATATCTCATTTGTAAATACGTTACTTTGTGCATGGCACCCTTATACCAACATCAGTGACTCCGGAAGCATGTAGAACTGGAGTGGCTGGGCTGGTACAAATAGGTTTCTGATGTCTTCTGTACAGGGATAGTAGTATATATAGCCTTCCTCTGAGGGCAGCTCAGAGAGTGTCATCAAGTGAAAAGGGCCTTCTCAGTGGCGGTCCCCTATTCTAGAATGAACTACCCATTGAGGCCCAGCTGGAACCAATACTGCCATCTTTTTAGTTCCAGGTTAAACTGCTTGGTATTAATAATATTTAAATAGGGCACGATGGGGAATTCCTATTAGCTACCTCTTTAACACATCTAGCATTGTTACTGAAAATGTAACCTGTTTAAATTATTCTAACTTTGTATGTAGGAATTTTTGTGTGGTATTTTATGTTGTAGTTTGCTAATGCTATAACTTGTGAGCTACTCAGAGAATGTTGGCTATAGGTCAGGAAAGAAATTAAAATAGCAACAACAGGAACTGTCTCTGAGGTTGATATGTCAGACTTCATATCTGGGTGCATAATGTAATGGACCCTAGGAGCCATCCTCCTTATTTTACCTAATCAGTATAAAGTCCCATGAGAGAATGGCACTTGATACTTTGAGGGGCAGGGACTGCAGCCTAAGGGTTGAGTGTACGTTTTGTATGCACAGGGTCCAGGCTGAATCCATGGTCTCTGCAGCTCAAAAAGGGCTGGGTCACAGGTGAAGATGAAAAACTCCTGCAGACACCCTGGCCAGTTGCTGCCAGTCAGAGTAGATCCTTTGGGGCTAGATCAGCTCTCCTCAACCTTGGACCCTTCAAATACTGTAGAGTACAACTCACAACAATGCCAGCCAGAAGGAAGATGGGAACTCTAGTTGAAATGTCTCAGGGAAGCTCCACCTGGTTGGAGAAGGCTGAAATCATGGAATAAATTGTCTGATCTACTATAAATCAGCTCCTGTGTCATCCAAGGGAAAGCAGTTCAAATAATATAAGGGAGCTCTCATGATTTCAAGATAATTCAAAAGATCTTAACAGATAATTCTGAATTTCAGAGAAACTTGATGGCTATTCAAAATTAAACCTCAGTGTGTGGAGTCAACCTAGATGTGATTTTAAAAGCCAAAATTACCTCTAGCATTTTATGTATTTTCTGCTCCGCTACAGGGATGAATGAACCTATCAATTTTGACTTCTCATGTTTTCATTCCATTCATTTCCACATTACTTTGTAACTTAAAAAAACAAGTCTACACAAAAAACTGCAAGCATTTTTGGGCATACTTTTTCTAAATGTGCATAGTCTTGTATGCATTATTACTTAATTTTGAAGGTGTTTTCCGTAATATAGTGTTACATTGTACATTTCTCCATAAAATACATTTTGTTTGCATACTTTTGTTCAGAGAACTGCACAACATTCTGGTTTGTATATTCCAGACTTTCCAAGCCTGGAACTCTCCAGATTTTAGACTATGATTACCAGCATTCCCAATCCATTATTTTAGCTATCAGGTAGGAAAAGCTGGCATATTGATTCAGAAAGAGTGGCATTTCAAAGCTCTTATCAAAATGCACAATTAACAAAATTCTCCTCTAGCCACATTTCCTGTTCAGTCACAGGACAGCATCATCCCATTGTCCTGTTTCCGCTTTCCACACATCCACAATGCAAATATTTTTCTAATCCCTGTTAAGAATGTATGAGTCATGAAGGTGTAAACCATACTTGTACCCTTACATAAATAAAGTTCCTTGTGCAATAGTTGAGCCAACAATGCAGTCCTGTAGCAGATCTGAGGTTACAGATGCATAATTATCAACTGTGAGCATGGAGTGTATAGCTGAAAAACAATGTAAAATAGGAATGGAGCAGTACTTACCACCATCAGCTTTGCGGAGATTTCTCATGCGGATGATTCTTACTGTAAGGAAACTGCAGGGAAAATTTTCCATTGGCTGTAAAACAACGTATTAGGAGGAAAGGGTAAATACTAAATTGAATTTTTAAAAGCACTTATCTGTCACAGGAGAAAACTAAACTTGCATAAGTAGTTTGATAGAATCATGTAGTTGGAAGGGGCCAAAAAGGCCAGTTACAGTGATACAATTGTCCTGACTGAAGAATAGAATACACATGATCCACATCCTTGGCTTGTCTGCCGGACAGCATTGGTTTTCCATTGTAAATGCTCATGTGACATTTAAACAGTAGGTAAGATTGACTGCCACTATTTTCAGGTTACCTTTAACTACCAAAAAGTGAGATATTTGAGGACCATTACCTTCCATTGCTTTGTATGGCATATCATGAGCGGAAGTGACTGGAGCCAGGGGTCAGAGTAGATGGCTCAGGAGGCCCCTTCTGACTCGCTCTGTTTCTCTGTTTCTATTTTTTATGTATCCAAATGTAGCCATCTACAACAAAGGTTCCCTTGAAACTAGCAGAGGGTAGGAGAGAGAAGGATATGCTTTTCACTGATACTTCCATCCAGCTACAGCCCTCACCAACTTGGACAAGCCAAGTTTCAGAAGTCAGAAAGGGTTGCAGTGGAGGATGGAATGGGGAAAAGATACCTCCTCCATTCCATCAGTAAGAACCTTCCACTGGATCAGAACCACCATCGGCATGGACACTGTCCAGTTCCAAATCATTCCAATGTCATTTCCCTCCCATAAAGATCTCAAGCAACTACAGTGTTGAAACTGGAAGAAAGTGGATTTGGCATGGTCGAAGTGTTTATTTCCTTTGAAATGAACTTGATTGCATTATAATTATTTTAATACCTCAGTGCATTTATTTTCTTTCAACGTACGCAAGCTTGATGCTTCAGGGGAACTGAGCAATACTGGAATGCCTACTTTCTACTTATCCTCTGACTACAGCACTCAGAGGAAACTTTTGGGATCTGCAGCTGCAATCCATGGCTAATATCAAGTGATAAAGTTTGCATAATGTTGCTGAACCTACTTAGTCACTATGACAAATGCCAAAGTGTACCACATGAGAGAAGATAATCCTTTATCTTATTAATGTGGAATGCAGCCAAAAACTACAACTTAATTGCATATGTGGCCTTATTCTACTTTTTGATGCATGTAGAAAAGCAGCTGTTTCCTGCAACCTTAAAAGTGCTGCAATTATTTGGTCATGCTGATAAAATGCAACATGGGCATTCATCATTTCCTGTAACCAAGACATTTGCTCATAACCCTCTTTAAAAGAACTGTACATCCATGTACTTCTTGCAAGCATGCTTTCCTGTGGGTGAGTCCTCAATACACAGAGGTCAGTGGGTATGTTCCTGTTGACCTAATTATTAGTTATTATGTACATAGACCTGTACACAGGGAAAATACCTAATAGACTTTATCTTGTTTGTCTTCCGATTGCTCTGTAAAGCAGGGCATTAATTTAGCACAGATGAGGAACCAGAGGGGAGAAATAATGCTTTGATCTAGGGTTTGGGAACTAGGGTTCCTCCCTTCGCACATTCAAAGGCCACAGACCTTTCTTGAAAAATGTTCGTTATTGACCAAAGCATTTTCCAGAAGCACAATCACCCAGAAGGAATCTCTGAGCATGCAAAGAACAGTTTGTTGAAGTCAAACTAGTATTCACCTCCAAGAACTTTCCTCCAGGAGGGGCCTTCTGAAAATGAGCACACCTCTCTGTACGGCAATCCTCTAATTGGGCCACCCTTCTCTGCCAGTGTTGTATCATGTGGTTGAGAGCTGTACCCACTTCCTCTGTCTCTGACCCTCCCCCCCCCACACACATTCCAAGCTCCATCCTGTCAACTCTATTGAGACTGCCTGCTCACCTGGGGAGCCTGGCCTTGAGATAAGCCTGTCCACCTCTCTCATCTCATTGTCTGGGAGTGGCCCACATTCCAAGCATTCCTCCTGCTCTTCCTTATCCTCCTTTGAAATCCAACCAAGCAGCCTTGAGCAGCTGTCTTTCTCACCCTCAACATAAGCTGTACTCTTAGTCCATGACTCATCCCACATTGAAACAGGGTCCCCCTGTTCCCTATCCTCTTGACCACAGGTGCTGTCATGTATAACTTCAGCTTTGACCAAAGGGAATAAAAAGAACTCTGCTGAGAAGGACAATCTAGCCCTTAAGTAACTGAGGGCACAATGCAGTTGGGGTACTCATAACTTGAAATGTGTGAGGACTCCATTTTAGGGGTGAGAATCTGTTGGATTCCCTAGGCTTAGCTCCCCAGACTCCAGTCCACTTTGTAGCCATCATGAGCCTGAGTCCTTGGTGAGCACACCCAGCATTGCCAAGAATAGAACCCCATGTGAACACTGCACATGGTGCCTTCTTTCCATGCCATGTGCAGCAGCCATTGTTGATGCCCCCGTGATGTGCCTTCTTTCCATGCCATGTGCAGCAGCCCTTGTTGATGCCCCCGCGATGTGCCTTCTTTCCATGCCATGTGCAGCAGCCATTGTTGATGCCCCCGTGATGTGACACGTGACATGGAAGATGGTTGGTAGTCACAAGCGTTTTCTGAGCAAGCCTCCTCCAAGTGCTCAGAGTTCTTCTCAGGGCTGAGCATAAGAGGAAGTCCATGAATGCTAAATGGCTGGATTTCATGGAGCTTCATCACAACCCTACTAACTGCATTTGGAGGATTACAAAGCAGAAGCACAGAGGTGAAAGTCATCTCCATGCGTCCTCTACCCTGCAAAGTGATAGAAGGGTGACTTTGGCTTTCTGAGTGTAGTGCTTCAGAGCATCCACCAAGGTTGTAGAGAGGCATCAGGGCTGGATCCCCAGCTATGAAGCCAGAGCACTTGTAGTTCTGGGCTGCCTCACTGTTCTCTAGCAGCTGTAGGAATACTCTGCCCGTGTGGACTGTGTCAAATCAGTAAGTATGTTAGGGAATCAAGATTTAATTTAATTCCAAGGATTCCTCTTTTTAAAATTACTTTCTTCACTCAGTGAAGATTTTAAAACTTATTTTAAGGTTGATACCCTTAATATTTCCCTAAAAGGTAGAATAGAGAGATTAGAAGAATAGGAAACTCAAGATGTCAAACAGAGATCATCAATATTTAACATACTCCTTAAAATCCAAACTAAACATTAATTTAAGCAACATTAAAAATATTAGGAAAAACAGCAATTCAACATAAAGGCTAAAAATGCTTAAAGGGCTATTAAAACTTTCATTCAAATACCTTAAAAGCCTTTTATGTATGATTTTAAAGAGTAAACTTTTGGAGCCTGACAAATCTCTATTGCCAGGACTTTCTTGGTGAGTGCAGCCACCAAGAAAGCTCTAGAACAAGAATTGATTATCTTGTGGGGCCATGGACACATTTGGAAATTTGGAGAACTGTCCAAGCACCATGACAAAATGGCAGCGATTGAAGGTGTGGTAAAGGACAAGTAATATGCCCCAAAGCAGAGGTAGGGTTTGATCCCAACACACTGAACTCACAGAAAAGTATTATAGGGCAATTCCAACTGCCAGCAGTATTTTTTCTTTTTTTGAAGGAGAGAAGGATGGTACATTTTGGTGGGCTCTAAGCCTGCTGTCTGAATGTGCATTGGAGCCTGTGGGCAGCATATTGCCCTGTTCTCGAAGCTGCCTAGCTAGCTTGATGAGGCAAGAAGATCTGAATAGTGTCCCAGTAATGACCCAGATCCTGATCCAGTTAGGACTTTCAAAATTAAGACCAGAGCTGAATCAGGAAACAAAGCAGCTGTCAGTACAACTCAACTAAAATAAGTACAATATGGATCAAACACTTAGTTTTCATGAGCAGTTATGCTGCTGCATGTAAATGGAAAACTGCTGTCAAGCTTTGAAGATTTCCAGGTTGAGGACATATTGACTGATCCTTGCAAGGCTCATTAAGTCTCAGGGCATGATGATCTTGTGCCAGAGTGGCCTTAAATTCATTTCAACAGAACAAGTACTTTCGTGTTGACATTCTAGAACTGAACCTCACTTTTTTTTTCTTCTTTTGGTAATGTGATCAATCTAATTTCAAAAATGGATATCCACAAACTGGAATTCAACTCTGATCCAAAATGACAAATGTCATTGTTGTTCAGAGCACAGTCCAATGGGGAGCCAATCTAACTCTCTGAACCTGAACCATTTTCAGTTTTCTAGCTGCACGCTAGAAAATTATTTTCTAGCTATACTTGAACTTAGCTCAGCCAGAGCCTGTTGGAGACAATGGCATTTCAACCCTGCACTTGCCTTGACCTTCAACAGATTCCTTCAACTAGCCACGTGGACCACTCTCTTGGTACATCTGCCTGACCTGGATGCTTGCCACGAGAAGCTCTGTGGCCTGACATCTGGACTTGACTGGTTTCTTCCTTTGGTTACTTCCTGAAGATAATTCAGCCTGGACTTGGCACTTGCTGACACTGGAGCTCTTCTCTCCTTCCCTTCTCCTAGAATATCCCCAGACGTCTTGTCCAAGGTCATTCTTACATCTTTGGAAAAGTAACCAGTATGCATTGTTCTGTATCTGCTGTGGGGATGGAGGGAGACAGATCCAACATGGACCACCAAATCCTAGGTTGGAACTCTTTTGACCTGGTATTTTGGAATATAAAACATCTTATAGCCCTCTAGATGCTACCTAGGAGCTGAAGAACCGTTCTGTAAGTGAATTGGCTCATTTCTCCTGCAGATTTGGACTACTGAGACATGCCAGTTTCAAATTCTACTGTCAGCTGTAGAATATGGTAAAATGTCAATTCTGCAGAAGATTCACTGTCAAATATTGATGCTGAGCACACTCATCAAATCTTGAGGGACCAAAAGGCTATTTAGGGACTGGGTTGTTTTTCATGGTAACCTAACTTAAATACCATTTGTTTCAATAGCTTTGCTTTAAATAAAACTGGGTACCAGGGTTTCATCAGAGCTGCAGGGAATCGATCCTGCTAGGGTTTGCAGACTTCCTCTTGGGCT